AGCTGAGCGTAACTTTGGAATCTATCTCTTAGGTTATCTTGATGAGAGTTTGGCTGTTTCTCGGTGGTTAGCTGTACCCAGCCGTCCCTCGATGCTGCTGCTGCGGCAGGAGGCACAGCACTCCTCACACCACCTTGGTGCCTGCTGACCGCTGCAGTGGCACCACCATTTCCAGTCGGGGCCAGCGGAAACCAGCGACCGACGCGGTCACCAGTAGGACCCGAGCCGAGCGGTACCGTACCTCTGGTACCTCCTGCCGAGTACCTCCCAGTACCGGGGGATCGTAGCGCACTGCGTCGGGTGTCATCTTGCCGCGCCTGCCCGGCGAACACTGAAGTGAAGCCGGCTGAAGCGTCCTCACGACCTGCGAAAGCAGCCGATCTCGTATCCACCCACAGCGTTCGAGCGCGTCTGATACCGGAGCTATCAGATTCAGAATTAGACCGAGAGTGTCCGTTTGAATCTGATCCGCTCTCCTGTCGAGCATCAGCCAGCCGGGAGAGGTTGCAGAGCAGAAGCAGCGCCAGCGGCATGGAGAGTGACAGCGACGGCAGCAGTCGCGTCCTCATGATGCTGGCGGTCCTGTCAGCTCGGTGATAGGTTTGATGTCAACTTCTCGGTCTGACACTCCCGTCAGTCTTCCACAGACGCAGTCCCGTTTGGTGCCAGCTTTGCTGTGGTAGTCCTAGGCTTAGCGATGGCTCGATTCGCTGCTTGCCACTACGGCCAAGAGGCAAGAGCTAAACAGGCGGAGCCACCACCAAAACCGACAGCTCGCTGGCTCCTGCCTCCTTCCACAAAGCCTTTCCGAGACAAACTGACCGAAATCCACATCGGCAGCGGTACTGAGTCCTTCCCTCGGCTCACACTGACCTCGATGGTAGCCGGATGCACTAATTGCCCCCCTCCCTCCCCTCCCCTCGTGCGACGCTGTACGGTGAAAGGAGGAGCAGGTGGAGGGGTGGATCAGCCTCCACCGAGGGTTGCGAGTCCTGCACTAAACCTCTGCAAAGGACGTCTTTGTCCATCCCTGGCACAACGGGATCTGGAGCCGCTGTCATGCGAGCCAACCTGAGACAATAGCCGAGCGGAGGCTCTGTTTCAGAATGGGACGAAGCTGCACTAATTTACGGGGATTATTTCAACCATACCGAGTTATGCCACACCCGCAATGAGGGATTACAGGACTAGATGGGTTATGCGCATGCAACAAGTGCAACGTTGTGGCTAGCCTGTGAAAATGGATACAAATGCTTCTGATCGACCTTGATTGTTTGTCACTCCAATTGAATTGCTTAACTACGTGATCTGCTAATAGGTAAGCGCTATCAATAGCAGCTATATTTTCTGTCCTTGTATTACAAAAATCAAAGTCGCTGAAAATAATTTAATTATATAAATACTTTGTGTGACTTGGAAGGTAAAATCCCACAATCATATCCAGAGCTATAAGTTAACCCATTAATGCCGCTTGGGTCATATATGACCCAAAAGCAACATCTTAACATTTTTTTCTAAATGGAGGCAAGTGGCACTTTGAGGAACTTGTGCGTGTGTTTTGTTGGATTTGTGGGTTCAGCGACGAGCGTCGGAGCCGCATAAAACTCGTGTGAGCTCGTCCACTGAAGTTTCTGGAGCCAAAGACGACGGGACTGCACAACCGCCGGTCACTGGCAATGGCGCGCCGTCCCAAAAAGTAATATTATGTTATGTTTGCACTTAACTATCTATTGAACAGTGTTGCCGTCCTGGTACTTTAGTACCTGAGATCTGGTACTTTTTCGACCGTTCTGGTACGGAGGTACGCCGGAACGAAATCTGGTACTTTTTCGCCGAAATGCATTTTTTGGCATTTTAATATTTCTAAACAATTCTTTTAGTCAGGAAGGATGGTGTTTCTTATCATAACTTGTCATGCATCGGATTCAGAATTATCGATACCTATTCCGGTTGTGTGATAGCAGGGGACGGTCCGCCGGCTGCAGGCTAGTGAGGCAGTTGTGTCCAAGGCCAATGCGTCGACGGTCAAAAAGCTAAGGAAAGAATCTTATTTGAATCAGTGTCCAAGATTGTGCGATTTGGTTGGAAAACTAAATGACACCTAACAAATCACAATTTTCCATTCTCACTGGCATATTACTGTGGCTGTGGCAATTTTCACTCCTTCATTGCAAGTTAGGATCCTGGGTGCAATCGCCATTCGCCAGTCTCAACTGGATCGCCCCCCCCCCCCATCCAGGAGTGCCCCCTCTCGAAGGAAGGAATTCGATTTTTTCTATGTTTAGGGCTTAGGCCAATTTTATGTATATGGCGTCCCCGGTGGCGCAGTCGGTTAATTGGCGTCGTCCCGCGGTGTGTGTGTGTGTGTGTCGGGGGGGGGGGGGGGTTGCCGGGTTCGATCCCCGGTTCCTCCCGTTCTGCGGGGCGTCGTCCCCGGCTGCGTCACCGGGCGTGGGGTAGGCTCCTACTTCAGCCGTAGCCTGGGGGGAAGGAGAGCAGGACCAGGAGGAGCAGGAGCTCTCCTGTAAATGGGACGAAGCTGCTCGTTGGAGGGAGGTCCGATTAAAAAAAAAAAAAATACAATTCGGGCTTTCAGAAGAGCGCCTTTCTGTCTTTAGCGGGCGAGGCGGGGAGACGAATGGGTGAATTACCGGGTCAATGGGTCAATACATTACTTACTGGCATGAACATACCGAAATTATGGCTATGTTTATAGTGCTGAATTAAAAATATTTTGACCTACTACGATCTGGTACGGAACAGAGCCAGAAACAGCCAATCTGGTACGATTTGGATGCGATCCTGGTACGCTGTAAAATCTGGCCGCGGCAACACTGCTATTGAATGATCGTCCACCTGGCATCTAAATTTGTCTGAAAAAGACATGATGTATATTTTTGCCCTTCTTGTCGCCATCTTATAACTTTTTTTCCTCGATAAATATCCTTGTGTCATAAATGACCCAGCCGGCAATAGTGTTGTCAATTTTCTCGTATGTTGAATACAAGGGAAGCAATTGATGATTATACGATTATTTATTTCTGGGGGTTGTGATAAGATCACAGTGGCGGATCCAAAGGAGGGGGGTCATATGGGTCACTCATGACCTCCCCTGGGACCCGGGGGCACCACCGACCTATCAGGGGCACCACAGGCCTAGTGTTGCGATGTTGGGATATCATGAGCGGACCGGTTGTCCGGGGCCGTGACGCGGGGCGGGCCGGCGACTCGGCCGGCCGAGGGACACCACGGGCCTGTCAGGGGTACCACAGGCTTGTTAGGGGCACCACAGGCCTGCGGGAGCACCATCGGCCTAGCAAGAGCACCACAGGTCTGTCAGGGGGCACCACAGACCTGCCAGGGGCACCAGCCGGAGGCCTGCCAGGGGCACCATCGACCTCACAGGGGCACCACCAGCCTCGCGCGTGCACCTTGGGCTTGTAAAGGGCTCCACGGGCCTGTCGGGAGCACTTCAGGCTTGCCAGGGGCACCACAGTCCTGCCAGGACCCAGGGGCACCAGCGGCCTAGCAGGAGCACCACAGGCCCGCCAGGGGCACCACAGGCCTGCCAGGGGCACCACAAACCTAGCAATGGCACCACAGACCTGTCAGGGGCTCCACAGTCCACAAGCCTGTCAGGGGCACCTCAGGCTTGTCAGGGCCCAGGGGCACCACAGTCCTTCCAGGGACACCACAGGCCCGTCAGGCCTATGGTGTCCCCTCTGGAGCACCAGAGGCCTAACAGGGGCACCACAGGCCTGCCAGCGGCACCAACGGCCTCGTCAATGAGACGTTGCAAAGCATTGCAATGCAGTGCCCTTAATATTGTTTGGCTGAGACCGCTATACAGTATACACAATAAGGTTTCTAGCTAAATCGGTTTTCGTGATAACTCCTTATTTGTGACTATGCCAATGCCGGTTGGGTCATTTATGACCCATACTTATAACTTGAGAACCGATGGAACAATTTTTTAAGCTTGCACAGTTTTCTTACTGGGACCCGTGTGGCTAACATTTGTTAAGTACAACTAAAGAATCAAAAAATAAAAATTCCGGCATTAATGGGTAAAAAATGCCCCTAAGCAATGCGTTGGGGTATCCAGGGGCGGATCCAGAAAAACTCCAAGAGAGGGGTCATGAATCGAAGTGCAGGGCACCCTACGTCCCTACCTATACCCAAAATTATAAACTCAACGGATTTCGGCCACTTATTTTTTGGTTGGGCCCTATTTTTAGTTTTTTTTTTCTGTTTTTTTATTTTTTTTATTTTTTCCCTGCCCCCTGGGCCCTGACAGAACTGGGGTGCCCAGCTGACAACCCTGAAGTGTCCCTGACAAGCACGTGGTGCACCTGACAGGCCCAAGGTGCCCCTGCGAGGCCGGTGGTGCCCCTGGCTGGCCTGTGGTGCCCTTGCTAGACCTCTGGTGCCCCTGACAGGCCTGTGGTGCCCCTGAAAGGGCTGTGATGCCCCTGGGCTCTGACAAGCCTGAGGTGCCCTGACAGGCCCGCGGTGCCCTTGCTAAGCCTGTGGTGCCCCTGGCAGGTCTGTTGTGCCCCTAGCGGGCCTGTAGTGCCCCTGCTAGGCCGCTGGTGCCCCTGGGCCCTGGCAGGACTGTGGTGCTCCTGACAAACCTGAAGTGCCCCTGATAAGCCCAAGGTGCCACTGGGCCCTGCGAAGCCGGTGGTGCCCCTGCGAGGCCGGTGGTGCCCCTGTGAGGCCGGGGTGCCCCTGGCCCCTGCGAGGCCGGTGGTGCCCCTGGCGGGCCTGTGGTGCCCCTGTCAGGCCTGTGATGCCCCTGGGAATTGATAGGCCGGTGGTGGCCCTGGCAGGCCTGTGGTGCCCCCGTGGGGCACCACAAGTGCCCAAGGGGGGGGGGGGCATGACCCATATGACCCCCCTTGGATCCGCCACTGGGGGTATCTGCTATCTATCTGTTGAGAAATAGCTAATGTTTACCGAGCAGTGAATACGTTGCCGTTCTATTAAAAAAAAAAAAAATAACTGGCATAATGTTGGTGCTCCCAGCGCTTTACATTATATATTCTGAGAACGGTGGCAAGGTTAGCTCCATCAAATACAGCTTGTCGTGAAACTTTTTGTAAAAAGTATCAAAGTATCACGAACACAAACAATCATAAACCTCATATTGGACGGGAGGTTCAAGTTTAGATTTATGCGACACCGCAGATGACTCTACGAATTAGCTAACGTTCTCAGTACGCATAACACACACTGCTTTTGAGCCAGACATTACCAGAAATATCTGGATTAGCTGGCCAGCAAACCACACATAGCTTGTAAACAGACGGCAAGGAATTGAAATGCGTATTCATCGCTGTTATGTATGTCACAGCAAGTGTACGAGTATGTTCCTAAAACTGGATAAAACCGGACCCGGAGGAAACTAACCAGCTCCTGTCACCACCACCAATGAGAGCTTAGGCCCCCGGCCTCTCCACCAATGACTAGCCTCGGCTGAGGGGTGTGACCGCGTCCCCTCTGACCCCACCCCTCCCCGTGGTGATACGGAAAGTGATTGTTGATCTCAACTGATGACGACGCTCAAACTCCGACTCAGTACAGAGTAGCGGCGACAGTGAACAGTCGGGGACAGATCTAGGCGACGGAAGGCCTGGTCTAGATCGTAGTGGGAAGCAGCGTTTAGGCAAGTTAGAAAGGAGATAATTCCGCATTTGAGCTTACATCCGTCTTAGCCAATCGAATCAGATTGCTCACATTAGATAAAAGTGTTACAAATCGGCAGCGTGAGTGATATCTACACACATGAAAAGAACAAGTAGGGTTAGCCGACAGAATAGTTAGTACCTATCTATAGGAAAATCAAAATTCTCCTACATATACAACAAATTCTGTAATCGCCGAGTGTGGTTAAGCACTCCACTCCACTCCGAGTGAACAGCCATGAGCGGGGGCGGTCGTATTTCCCGCCTGGTGCGTTCCGGGTCGTGTCTGCTGCCGGCCAGCCGTACCCGGCACGGCTGCAGCACGGCAGAGCACGTCCACAGCACGGCCGAGCAGGCTCACAGCACGGCGCCCGCGGAGTTGCAGCTACGTACGGAGGATGTGTTCCGGTCGAGGTCTGTTCGAGACCTGCTGCGAGCCGTGGCCGTGTACCAGGTGTGCGCCTTCGACAGGATCGTCGACAATAGTCTACAGGTGAGGTCGGAGGAAATGGGTAATATTAGTCAGATTCCAATTTTTCTAATAAAAAATAAATAAATAACAGACGAAATGCTAGTATTGCGGGACCTTCATTTTCCATAGTTAATTCTCAATCATATTTGACCACTGTAGCCTACATTATTCGTGGGCTCTATCGGCAGTTGCTATGACGTGTCCGGCGGAATCGACAACTGTCGTACTTATGCTTTCCGCTGCTTTTGCATTTTCCAGTTGCCATCTCCCTTCTTCAATCAGTTGGGGTACTCTATCACTCTCATTATATCAGTAGCAGCTTCACCTCTTCTGCCAAACCTATTGCAGCCATTGCATTGTGTCGGCAACTGATTCTAAATCTCCTTTTGCACCTCCTCAGCTGCTGCGCCTCGGCGAGCAGCTGCTGGGCAGCCGGCTGCTGCAGCGGCTTGTCTCTCCGTTCTACCGTCAGTTCGTGGCCGGGTCTGACCGCCAGCAGCTGGAGAGAACCGTCACGGCTCTCAGAGCAGACGGAATCCGGTTCATGATGACCAGCATGCTGGAGGCTGATGTGGGAGAACAAGCTGCCAGGTGAGATCCTGCGACATCACGACATCTAAATTGGCGATGCCGGAAAGTAAAATAAATTATGCAATGCCCATCATGACAATCGAGGACTGTGTATTATTTACTATTTATAGACTAACAGGGTGCAATGCAGCAGTCTTCTTTTATTCACATCAACATTAATGGATGTCAAATGCCAAAATTTATGTGCTCAAATGTCGAAAACCAACTGTCGGACCTGTCGATAATCTGTTCTGCACATTTTACGCAGTGTAGACGTCAGCAAAACAACAATTCACTTAGCTACGGCTTACGTAATGATTATCGAATCGTTTACACTTTCTCTTCAATCCGGTGATGTAATGCAAGTCTCACATAAATCATAATCCACTTCACACCCTCCAATGACGATGACGCATCTCCGCGACAGCGAGGAGCAGCTGACGGCGAACATGGAAGAGGCGCTGCGGCAGATGATGCTGGTCAGAGACATCACATCAGAGGAGGATCAGCCGGCCATTCAGACCAAGTTCACTGCACACATGGATGTCGAACTGCTGGTAAATACCAAATTTAAGAAGTATATTTGAATGCCTCACTTGCAAACGAATCTTACGAAGTATTTCCATTCAATCATTGTCCAGCAATATCCCAGATGAGGCTGATGAGATGGAACTATTTTGCACGATTCGTAGGCCTCTTCTGCGACTTTGTATTTGAAGTACAACTGCACCATACCTGCTCTAAAACTGCACTGAGTGCCCTCGATAGAGGAGAACGACGTTCAGACAGTCTTATCCAGTTTTAACTGGATATTAGTACCAATGTGTCCGGTCTCTGGTCTCTCAGATATTTATAAACATTCTCAGACAAGTTGCAGATGTATTTCTGTATCGTGTGACCCAGAATGACGAGCATTACGATGCTTCGCTGGGATAATTGTTTACTGCTGTATACCTGAAAACCTTTGCTATACAAACAGCTCGGCCACTCCACTCGTATCTATCAAACCTAACGGACCCACAGTCGTCTTTCTCGGTCTGGAATATTTACACTTGTGTAATGCCTGCTGTATGTTTGTTTACTCTTCTAGACCCCTAACTGTTTATAAACAATGTGACATCTAGAGTTCGTCTTAGTTCTCAGCCCGCGCTGTCCAATATCCACAGGTTCTGGCCTCTCGGGTGTTTTCTGCCAGCTCAGAGCCAACCGCGCTAGTGGAGCGTCTGGCAAAGGCTATGGTGACCTCAGGTCAGGTCATTGTGCCCGGTATGACCCGGCAGCAGCAGAAACAATGGGACGGCGCCGCTCTACGACTAAAAACGCTCGGTAGGTAGATATTATGAAAGTAGATTAACTTCATGCACGAAGGTTTTAAAATGATAAATAACAAATTAGTTATTTACCACAATGCGCTTCTTGTGCTCATTACTTATAGAAATAATTTTTGAACTTTGTGCTCATGACATCCAAGTTTCTGCGCATTTCTGCATCAAAAGGAGCTCAACCACTTTTCTAAGTCATTCATTACGCTGACGGCTCTCTAACATTTTCTCCTTTTTTAGATGGAACCTGTTTTCTTTTCTTTCCCCATCTCATGTGTACCAGCCTATCGTACTGACGTTAATGCATGACGTTCCTCAGGAGACGCCTGCGCACAGCACAACATGTCCCTGTTCGTGGACGGCGAGTTTACCTACACCAACCCGGCCATCTCGTGGATCACACTGGCTCTGATGACAGCTCTGAACCAGCACAGGGCCGTGGTGAGGGGCACGTACCAATGTTACCTGAAGGTGAGAGCCTATTGAGTACCGATCATAACTGGCTTCATAGTCGCACAGTCTGCAGTGCTTCGCCAACGCAGTTTGACATGAAATGTAAACCAGAGAGTGGGATCAATGAAATTTGGCAGACACGAAGCGATCGATGCTAGCGCCAGTGTATCTAAGCTGTGCCCCAACAACCTAAAACAACTGTTACAACAAAAGGAAATGGACGGTAAAATGTGTCGTATTACATAAACAGTAATCGATTGTTTATCCTTAGTTCGCCTCATTTGATATATAATTTGGAATCATTGCTTCCAGGCCACGCCTTCCAATCTGGAGCAAGAGTACTCCATCACTCGCCAGCTGGGCGCCTGCTTTGGCGCCAAACTGGTGCGTGGCGCGTATATGGCGCGGGAGAGACAATTAGCGCAGAAAGAGCAGCGACCCAGTCCGGTCTGTGAAAGTTACGAGGAGACCACGGCTAACTACACACGGTAAGAACAAATGTCTGCAGTAGATAAACATCGTACCGACTACTGGTGCTACCTGTCAAAAACAGTTTTAGGTGATTGGTGTTTGTCATTGGGAAAATAGCGCAAAACAACTAATCGACGGGAGCTAAGAAAGCTCAAGTAAAAGCCATGATAGCCTCCTAGCAATCCGATCACCAACACTAACCATCACACATCTGTTTATCCCAGGGCCGTGGAGTTTGCGCTGAGGCGGGTAGCGGAGGACGAGGGCAGGACACAGATCATGGTGGCCACGCACAACTACGACTCCATCGTACACGCACTGAGGTGAGAGATACATAGTGCCACCGCGCCTGAGATGGCACAGGCAGTCCTCAGGTCGGTGCGTGCAGAGGACACAATAGGTTGGGTGAATGGCGATCGGGATCTTAACCATCGCAATTCCAATGAAGTTATGTGCGTTTTGGTCGGATCTATCCCTCTCTCTCTCTCTCTCTCTCTCTCTCTCTCTCTCTCTCTCTCTCTCTCTCTCTCTCTCTCTCTCTCTCTCTCTCTCTCTCTCTCTCTCTCTCTCTCTCTCTTCCCCTCCCCACACACCACCTAACACTCCCTGCCCTCCCACAGACTCTCTGCCATGCTGCAGCTGACACCAGCCTCCAGCGGTCTCAGTTTCGGCCAGATTTACGGCATGGCCGACTACCTCACCATTCCGCTCGCTCGCTCCGGCCACCGCGCCTACAAGGCAGTGCCTTTTGGAGAGTTCAGCACGGTGATGCCTTATCTGTCACGAAGAGCTGCAGAGAGCAGGCTCATCCAGCAGGGTGTACGGCTGGAGAGGCAGTTACTGCTGAAGGAACTGGCAGGCAGGATCAGTCGCAGGGGCAGGGCCAGGGAGGTAGTGGTGTGAAGAAGAGGGGCTCGAGCGCGTTGAAGAAGTGGAAGTGAAAGAGGGGAGCGGAGGAGAGTGAAGAAAGGAATGGAAGCGTCAGGCGAGATACTTCATGGATATGAGGAATCATGCGTTGTGGTCGATTTATAGGGGATATTTCTAAAGGAACTTGCGTCGTGGAAAGGTGTCCACTCAGGATAAGACGAGGGTTCAAACGAGTGATTGGCAGGACTGATGCTGGGGTACTCATCTCTAGTAGCAGATGACATGAAGCCGTTGTGTAAGTGATGTGCGCGCGGTTGTGAATTTGTGATGTTGAAAAGTTGGGTAATGGATATGCTGCTCACTGCTCAGTGCTCACGATTGTTTCCAGCCCAAGCCTGATAAGATGATATAGTTTGTTTGGAGCTAAAAAGTGAAATGTAAGTAGAACACTTTTGTATATCAGCTTTTTAGGAACCAGGACGTATATATTTCAGCTCTTGTTAGCGTTTGTATGCGTACTGAATTCACTTTTAACACGCGCAGTGGAAGGGTTGCGAGTACTACGCCCAGTGGAAGGGGGGGGGGCGGATGTCGCCCCCCCCCTAAGATCTCAGCTCCCACTGGAGCTAGAAAGACGAAATTTGGAGGGTAGGTGGGGGCCATGGGGAACTCTGTTGTGTGTGAATTTCATGACCCTAGATCAATATCTTCAAGGTCAAATGAGGTCAAATGTGGTCAAATCTGCCATATTAGCGACTTTTTTGCGTTTACACGCCGATAACTCAAAAAGTTACCGGCCGATTTTTTAAAAACTTTCACTATACGAAAGAGCAAACATTTGTGAGTATGTATGGTGAATTTCTAGATAATCCAACAATAAATGTGGCAGTTAGAAGCCTGCTAAGGGTAAGATGTCGGCGGCTGAAGCGGCGTCGGCCGACGCGGGAAACGCGGCAATCACAATTTTGTGTTTACACACTCATAACTCAAGTTGTTACCGGCCGATTTTCAAAATTCTTTGATCATATGATTGCCTGTACATTTCTCAGTCTTCTCACCGAATTTGACGCGAATCTAATATAATCAGCGGTAAGGAGCGCGATGTAAAGACGGAACCGTCCCGCCCCGGCACAGTCTACAATTCAGGCGGCCGCCGCGCCGCCGCGCCGCCGCGGCGGCAGGATGTTTGACTTTACACCGCTATTACTAGAAAAGTTGTGAACCGATTTTCTTACTTCTTGCACGAGAAGATCCGCAATTCAATTTTGGACAGGTAGCCGAAATTTCACATTGATATTATGCTTGCGGCGCGAGTCATTGGCGAAAAACAGGAGGGGTGGGCGAAATCCGCCCCCCCCCCTTCCACTGCGCGTGTTAACAATAGGGAATTGTAGATAATGTCAGTCAGCGTTGAAGATAACGCGACATCATGAAGATAAGCCATGCATGCATATGTAAATTGTATGCAGTCGCAATCGCAATGATAGTACTCAACAATCGTGCCAAGTGAGGCGATACAACCAGCGCATAGCAAGTGATCCAAATTCCAAGGCAAATGTCAAGTCTCTCTTCGAATTCATGTCTTTCACTGGCTGGCACTGGCTGTGCGTAGGTGTTCCATTGCATACAATGCCGGCCTACTGCATTGCATTGTTACTATTGTCGCACATTGTTATTTGTAACTACCAATAAACTTGACCACAAGTCCACTCTATGTATACAATGATGACAATTGACAACCGCGCAGCATTATGACAAAATAGCAAGTACACAGTTTAGCGCTACTTATCCAATGGGAACCACAAGTGGATACGAGTGTAGGAAATAACAAATATGCAATTATCTCCCTTCCTGGTTTATCCAGATACTCATCCCGTAGCACGTAATACATGAATCATTTGATTGGCCCTCGGAGTGTGAGCTGAGCTTGGCGCTGAGCCGAGTAAATAAACTTCTAAAAATATTCCGGTTTAAAACAGCTGCCTTTTCCACCCATCTAGCGACATTATAAAGGTTGACTCACCTCATAAACAAACCACCCTTTCTCCGCCTACTCCAGACCAATGACGTCACTTCCGGCGGTTTGATGACGTCACCAGGTGTGACGCAGCGATCCAAAACGGTCCCGGAGTCACCAGGTCTGACGCAGCGGCGTCGGCTCTGACACAACATCGTCGGTTTCGATGAACTTGGAGCACGTCGTGCTGGGGTTGGCAGCGGTCCGAAGGAAGCGCAAGATGGGCACGGCTGGGAGATCTGTGTGTTGGGTGTGGGGTAGGGGAGGGGGAAGGGTTGGGTAGGAGATGAGCTCACTGGATCTCCGTCGGTAGCGCGAGGGCAGACAGGAGCGGACGGTCGGTGAGGAAGGAACCTTGCAGATCGAGAGAGCAAGACTGGGCCTGGAAATTAGCAGGTGAGTTCTATCAGACGGAGTCGGCTGGCTTATAAAGTATTATTATAGTAGAGTTATAGCATTATGTTATGTTATAGCATAGACCTCTGCATACCGAGGTCTATGGTTATATAGACCTCGGACCTTGTAGTATTATAGTATTATCATAGTATTATGCTCCTCTAACACGTGTTTTGTAGTAGTATAGGCTCAGCGTGCTTATGTGCTAGATTATGTATAGTTTCGTCCAGATGGCATTTGTCTGTTCGTTGAAAGGTATTTCTACCGTCAATATAGACCTGCCTGCACCGCGTTGAGCAATAGTCAGTCAGCTACCGTGATGCTAAACTACAACACAAATTTGTGTGTATGTAGATATTATGTTCGTCTTGACTACTCTACCCTTAACTATTTAACAAGTCCATCATAAGTCTTTTCAAATTACTCAAGTCGTTCCGCTTCATTTCGTCCGAGACAAGTGCGATGCGGTACAGCATAACTGCAGGCGTACACTGTCAGTGCCATCTAGCGGAATAAACTCTAGAAGTGACATGCTGCGGTGCTTCCGATTGGAAGATAGCACCTCGTATAAACTTTGATAGTCTTCTGAGAAAGATTACTGTTTTGGAACCAATGAAGCAGCCTTTCACAGACATAAACAATACCATATATCCGATCATCCAGAAATGTCTTACTTGGGATAATTTAAATGAAGTCATTTATCTCGGATCCCTCCAGGGATCGTTCTAATCCTGTCTACCTACACATTGGCTTATCTCTGGCCGTTCGCCCAACACGCTAGCCAAACCTTGTAAAATCACCCACCTCTGCAAAAACTGGACGATGCGGGGGATGAGAGCCAGAACAGGGTCGTGACCCCGCTAACGAATACCGACACCCTCAGGGTCACAACTTGTCAGCGCCCAACCACTGGTGTCGGACAGCGACTGCCAAAATACGCACCGTGGGTGTGCGTGGGAGGGGAGGAGTCACGCAGCTTGATTCTGAGTCAGGCGTCTGATCTGGTGGTAATGACTCACTCACCGGATACTGAAATAGTGTGCCATGCAGAAACTAAAGGTTTTGGCGTTCGGCAGCAAAGGATGATGAATGACAAGTTTATTTTACACTGCGATAAAAATTCTTTTATAATTAAACCAGCAAAACTTTACCATGAAAAAACACTTTCAACGACCACTCAAGTTAGCCCGCGCCCGGCTGGGGGTCCTGGATTTCCACGCCCTGCTGGGGGGGGGGGGGGTGTCTGAACACCCCCCCCCCTTCTAACTCGGCTCCTGGGCCACGTAGCGATACGCGGAAGGCGGCGTTCGAAAGAGCGTCAAAAATAATGAGGAAATCACTTCGATCAATTTTTTGGTCAGGTCAAAGGTCAGGTCACCAGAGGTCATTGAAGGCAAAATTTCGCCGATTTCCAGGTCGAATGTCGAAAATTTCCAAGAAGCCAACGCATAACTCGAGAACCAATAGAGCTACAGCGCCGCGGAAAAGCGCATTCGATAGCCCTATTAAAGCCCTTTCTGAGTAATTCTCTCAGATTTGACCTAACGTCAACGGTTTTGCCTGCAGGGGGCAAAAACTGCAAAAATAGCCTATTTTTTCGGAAACAGTTTTTCTGCAATAACTTTTGACCCAAGCCTTGTACGAGCTTACTTTTACCGGCATTGTGTTCCTCTCGTCAAGACGCATCGAATGAACTATAAGTTGACCTTGAAAGGTCAACTTGAAAATTTGACCTCAGGTCAAGGTCATGACCTGACCGGAAAGGGTCATGTTGCATATCAGTCGATCCGTATCGTCGAGCTGAGCACATCTAAGGCGTTTTCATCGCTCTAGCATGCCTCTATCAAAAGTTATTTGCGAAAAACTGTTAGATACCATTCGTGACCTAAGATGACCTCAGGGCATAAACAAGGGTCACGGACACCATTTTCATGTTCAGTGTGTCTAAACCACTTGTAATTCGGTGTTTGGAAGTGTTTATAATGTCTTTTGTCCAAAAGAGGCGCATTTCAATTTTTCCCATTGACTTATAATGGGGAGGTCGCAAAATTGACCTGACCTTAGGTCATCGATATCAAAATTCTGAGATATACATTTTGTACATGCTATTGCTCTTAGCAATCGCTGAAAGTTTCAAAGCGATCGGTCACTCGGTGTAGCTATGACAGACATTGAAACTTTTTATGAGGTGAGGTCACTTCAAGTGACCTGGTGACCTGACCTTGAATGACCTTGGTCTGAAATTTTCACAACATGTGTAGAATTGATGCATGATAAGGTGTACAAAAAACGGCGGCGCTCCGCGCTGCCGTTTTTGAGATATTCGCGAAAAACCACAAGGGGGGGTGTTCAAATACCCCCCCCCCCCCCCCAGCAGGGCGCGGGTTAGAGAAAAAAAATCCAAAATCAAATTCAACAGCACCATACAGAGTAAATAGCCACAAACACACAAACGAGGGCTGAATAACTATTCACTAATTGATGTGAGAGGAGGGCAAGCAACAGGGAGCGGGAGGCGAGAAGCGATTCGAGTACTACGGTCCCTGTGGACTTTGCATTACTCACTGTATCAGCTAAACTGCTGGTTTTGTGCCTATTTCTTCATCCACTGGCTGTCAATCTGTTTTGACTACGCATCCGTTTAGTTTGGCTTTAGAGCTGCGCTTTTGCCGTCGGTCTGATGATTCTGGCAGCGTCGAACGAACGTAGATTTATGTATCATCAATCACAGCGCACTGAGTCTGTTACGATCTGATGTGCCAAATTTGTAGCAGCTTCAAACTGTAGCTTCGTAGCTAAGATTATCTGAGTAAGTGATCGTTGATCTTCAAAGTTTGCACGGTCTTCTGGAATTCGTTTTAACTCTACCACTCTGAACCGTCTCTAGTCAAGGCTGCAGTTGTTGAGGTTTTACCCTATTTCATGTGTTTGACTGTCAGTGGCTGGGGTTTGATCACCTAAAATAAAGCATCCAGTAGAAGATGCGGAAATTGTTTGCTCAAGTTTGGATAGGCTTGTGCACCGCTTGAGATATACCCACTTAGGAACCTAGTCGAGTTTAATTTCGTTTGATGTGTGGATGCCGTTCGCAGCCTGCTCACCGCTTCTATTATAGTCATCCATCGACGATTGCCCTTGCTTCTAAGCCATTGCTGGTCTATGTATTGTTTTGTGATCTGTGGTGCTTTGTAAATAGAAAAGTTTCCCACGCTTGTATTGGGCTAACTTGTTATCTAGCGCTCAGTTGTAACCCTACCATAGCCTCCCAATGATCGTCTCATCTCATATCTTTCAACGAAGTGCGTCACCTTCAAAGATAGCATTGGTAAAGGAATGGCTTTGACCTCGAGACCTTCTGACCTCATGCGCTTCCCGTGACCTCTTGGTTGATTGGTGACCTTCACCTGACATTGACCCCCACCCCCGTCTTCCCCGCAGAGGAGCTCAATGGCGTCCACCGCCTACTCGTCACAATTTCAGAGACAGGAGAGGAGGACAGTTGGTCAGCCGTCGTATGGCGGCGATCGGTCAACTAAGCAGGCCAACTGGGATGACCACTTGGGTATGGCAGCTCAACCGAGAGTGTTGTAGGGGTGGATGCTGTTTGGGGAAGGAACGATAGATCACTTTGATATGCCTGGTACCGAGACCTGACTAGGTCAAAGAACCATCATGATAGGGCTGCCACGCGCTCACTTATTTTTGTACCCCAAATCTTCAGATTTTTTTTTTTTTTTAGGTAGCACTAAGAAAACTGTTTTTGTTATATCACACACCGCTTGTTGTGTTCCACTATTTATCTCCATTGCCGAATACATAACCTACGGTGGACAATAACACCCTTCCGCGTGCATTTCCAGACGGCCTGCTGACTGACCTGAAGCAGTCGCTGCCGCCGGGCAGAGGGCCGTCCCCTCAGAGCGCCACCAGAACCCCTCTACCTCCCTCTGCTGACCTGTCGGTCCCGACTGACCTGCCTGGCTCGGAGGACTACCACGAGAGGCGGGAGTATACCAGCCCCGACCAGAGGACCCATACTATCGAGGAGCGCAGCGGCAGGACAGAGAGGATTGACGGAGGGGTGAGTGGGGGGCAGAGGGGGACGGGCTGGGCAGGAGGGGAGTGGTGGGCGATGAGGTAAAATGAGTATACAAAGGCGAACAGCTTCTGGTTCATGAAAGCACAATCCTTTAGCAAAAGCGTCACTGCCACGTTCAAAGACTGGCTGTATCTCAAAGATATTGCAAGGCTATGTCTCTTGATTGTGTTAGAGTTAGTTGCGTAATAAAATTTAAAAGTTTGATGCTTTATCCATATTCTTGGGCCCCTGGGAATGGAGATGAATAATGGTTGTAAAAGCGGTATGAGTCTAGCGGCGGCCGATGGGTCTGAGTATGCAAGTGGTGCGCTGGCAGGACATTTGCAGTTCGGAAAACCGCGCCCTTTGTTTGCAGCGAGCGTAACATCCGCGCGAGCCTTGAGCTGAGACACGTGTAACAGTAATCCCGGGCATTACCGCCAGAGTCTCATTACTTGTCACTTATAATTGACCTTGCACCCTCAATGCTAATCCCTCCATAACTCATCTAAGTAGAACACAAACGTCACGTTAAAACAAAGACAGCAAGAGGGACCGTTAGCGGCAGCGTTTGTTGAGCTGGTCAAACGGTCGAGAACGTCCTGTGTGTTCGTGACGTACCGTTAATCAGTACAGACTACACAGACGGCCTTGATAAAGCAAGCTTCCAGCATGTTTCGTCTCTTTTTGTCCAACAATGTGTTACATTTCAAAAACAACTAGGTCTACCTTTGACCTGTTAGCTGAAAGACTACTTCTCCGTTAGCTAGAACATTGCGTGCTGTCCCGCAGTACGCTGATGTACTGCGGGCTAGCCTACCACCACCAGCCCTTGAGAGTATATAACGGTGCCGCTTACTAGTTGTTCTTACAGCTAAAATTGGCGTAATTGGATGAAACGACTTATTGAAATACATAAGAATAGTATGATCTAACGATATTGCTTTTGATTTTGGTGTTCTCAGAGTCGCGTGGTGTCCCAGAGGACGGTGAGATCACAGTCCAGCAGTCGCACTGCAGAGAGGTGCACCGTCTCACCGGGTGAGTTATCTCACACAGAGATGTGCCGTCTCGCCAGGTGAGATATGTATCTCATACATATGAGCCGTTTCCCCATGTCAGATATTTCATACATACCTGTGCAAGTGAGCACATTCCAAAGGGACGAGGAGGAACAGCTTCGATTGGTTCATTTGATTAGTCCTCAGATAGTTCGGCATCCCTATGAAAGAATCACGATTTAAATTATAAAAGCAATGTTACATGCATTTATAAAAGCTTCGTTTTGCGGTTCGATCAAGTTTAACTTTTACCTTATTTCAGAGCCCGGGCCAATGCTCACGGATAGGGTGGACAGCTTGAACAGTGGTTTTATGAACAGAAGTGAAACAACCGTGAAAAGTGAGTTGGCACTGTTTTGCATATTGCCTTTTATTACATAAAAATGTATTTAAGTAGCCAGTGTATGATGCTATAAGAAAATATTAGTTTTGTTGAGATGGTTGCCATTGATGCTGGTATAATTACATGGTCAGCAAATATAGCCGACATAACACCTTCTCTCTGCTGTTCCAGACTCATCACCCGGGATGTACGAAGTGAATAGGTGAGCTGATGCAATGCATACCTACGCATCCAACAGACATAATCACCAACGCTTCTATTCGATTTTTTCTCAAAATAATGCGCTATCTAAGAACATTCGGCATCGTAGCTCAATTTTACGCCAAAATTCAATACTGCACAAAACCAGCATAATAATCAATAAATCTTGGTGTTTCCAAATCAAGCTGAGCCGAGTTTTGTTTTTTCTCTCCACAGCTCTCCGCCGCCACTGACCGTCCCCACCACGGACGGCCCGCCAGTACCGGTACCGGGTACTCAGAGCCGCGTCACGCGGTACGAGTACCGTACCTCCCAGCGGTCCGTCAGTCCCGCCCCGCCCCGCCACCAGGCGCCCTCACCCCTACCACCGCCCGGTCCCGTTCTTCACGACGTCTCCACCGCCACTACCGAACCTCCACCGGCTGCCACCACCATCAACTACCACATCTACAACTACGGCAGCGAGGTGACGACCGACAGCGGAGTGGGAACCCTGGAGAGGGGAAGCGACAGACGCTGGGGGCAGGATAGCCTCGACCGCAGCCTCGGCGGGAGGTCGACCCTCCCCGGAGAGCCCGCGGAGAGGCTATACACTCGATCGGTGACCACAGAGGTGGAGAAGACCGCCTCTCGGGATGGACCCGCCGCGGAGGGGGTCATGACGTCACTATCCGGTCAGCAGAGGGCCGACGGTGGACTGACCCGCTTCCCCGTGGACTCTGTGGGCACGGTGGATCGGTGTGTCCACAGTGGACAGACTTCCGTGCGCGTGCCGTCGGAACCGCAGGTGAGACTTGTTCGTGGACAACGGGGAGTGGACAGTAGAGTCGGTGGACGATGGATAGTGGACGGTTAACGGTGAACAATTAGTTTTACTAAGGGTTAGTGGGCATTAACCCGCGCCCTGCTGGGGGGGGGTGTTTGAACACCCCCCCTTGTGGTTTTTCGCGAGTATCTCAAAAACGGCGGCGCGGAGCGCCGCCGTTTTTGGTACACCTTATCATACATCAATTCTACACATGTTGTAAAAATTTCAGACCACGGTCATTCAAGGTCAGGTCACCAGGTCACTTGAAGTGACCTCACCTCATAAAAAGTTTCAATGTCTGTCATAGCTACACCGAGTGACCGATCCCTTTGAAACTTTCAGCGATTGCTAAGAGCAAGAGCATGTACAAAATGTATATCTCAGAATTTTGATATCGATGACCTAAGGTCAGGTCAATTTTGCGACCTCCCCATTATAAGTCAATGGGAGAAAATTGAAATGCGCCTCTTTTGGACGAAAGACATTATAAACACTCCCAAACACCAAATTACAAGTGGTTTAGACACACTGAACATGAAAATGGTGTCCGTGACCCTTGTTTGTGCCCTGAGGTCATCTTAGGTCACGAATGGTATCTAACAGTTTTTCGCAAATAACTTTTGATAGAGGCATGCTAGAGCGATGAAAACGCCTTATATGTGTTCAGCTCGACTATACGGATCGACCGATATGCAACATGACCCTTTCCGGTCAGGTCATGAACTTGACCTGAGGTCAAATTTTCAAGTTGACCTTTCAAGGTCAAGTTATAGTTCATTCGATGCGTCTTGACGAGAGGAACACGATGCCGGTAAAAGTAAGCTCGTACAAGGCTTGGGTCAAAAGTTATTGCAGAAAAACTGTTTCCGAAAAAAAATCGGCTATTTTTGCAGTTTTTGCCCCCTGCAGGCAAAACCGTTGACGTTAGGTCAAATCTGAGAGAATTACTCAGAAAGGGCGTTAATAGGGCTATCGAATGCACTTTTCCGCGGCGCTGTAGCTCTATTGGTTCCCGAGTTATGCGTTAGCTTCTTGGAAATTTTCGACATTCGACCTGGAAATCGGCGAAATTTTGCCTTCAATGACCTCTGGTGACCTGACCTTTGACCTGACCAAAAAATTGACCGAAGTGATTTCGTCATTATTTTTGACGCTCTTTCGAACGCCGCCTTCCGCGTATCGCTACGTGGCCCAGGAGCCGAGTTACAAGGGGGGGTGTTCAAACACCCCCCCCCCCAGCAGGGCGTGGAAATCCAGGACCCCCAGCCGGGCGCGGGTTAAAGTACACATATTAGGAAATAAGGGAAATGAGTGATTAGGGAATATTTGACTCAAATTTCAATACAAAGTTCTACGAGTGCCTAATAAGTAATAAGCACAATTCATAAAAATGTGTCAGAAGGTTCAATTCCCTGTTCGAATATCCTACAGGGTGTTTCACAATAAATGTTACTTTTGAATAGCTTAAATGAAGATCTTACTTGTTCGTAAGCGCGTAAATTTTATATGCATTTTGCTGCAAATTTGTAGCGGTTTTTAGTCCTTGCATTTTTTTTTTACAAACCGTCAACGGTTCCATCAGTATGGACGTGCAATGCCAACACCGTCAAAACGGGTCAATTCGCCGTGTACAGATGATGAGGCGGTATGGGTGGTCATGCATTACGGCGCTTTGCGGAGTCTGACCGCAGTGCGACGGAGTTTCGGTAGCCATTTAAAAGGAGGAAGGATATTCCGTCAAAAATGTCTTTCAAACGGGTAGTAGAAAGGTTCCAGAAGACTGCAAACACGAGACCAGCTCCGACTCCTGGCCGGACGGCGATCCCAGAGAATCTGGTTGAAAAAGTCAGACGGAAGGGTGGCATAGTGGAGAACCCGTGAAGGGTGCTGAACTGAAAGTTATATGTTCATCAGTCCTACTGTTCTGCTGTCTCATGAGGTAATACTCATGAGCCATATTGTAATACATGTCACTGAAACATCGTCGTTTGAAAAGCAACATTCATTGTGAAGGACCCTGAAGCTTAACAGCGAATTGACCTGTTTTGATGGTGTGGACATTGCACGTACATAAAGAATGCAGTTGATGATTCGTCATAGTTTTTGTAAGGATAAAAAACCCGAAAGAATTTGCAACAAAATGAATATGGAATTTATGGGCATACGAATAGCTGAGGTCATTTTAAAAGCTTATCAAAAGTAACGTTTATTGTGAAACACCCTGTAGACTCTATTTGTCCCAAATAATCTAAACCACTGCACCTTTATCTTCAGGACGGCACTTATCCGAAGGGTCCCCGTCGGCGTGACCTGGGGTCAGGTCAGGTCACTGAGGTCAAATCTGTTCAGGTGGTGTCCGAGCCCTCTGAGTCAGTCTCAGACGCTGGTGTGACTCAGCCGAGTCAGAGTCAGGCCAAGGTGGCTCCCGGAGTCTATTATCCGCCTTCCGATCGTCTGAATTGCGAGAGTAAGGTATGCACGAGTATGGCTGAAGATGTGGGTACTCAGTGTGTTGTATGTGCAGCAGTGAGCAGGGAGGGGTGGAGTGCGTCCTTACTGGAGAGGGAAGGCTCAACGTAACGTCTTTAGATTGATTCATTAGCGCTTATGTCACAACTCTCAGTCATTCATCTGCATTGTACGACTACCTGCGATGGAAATTTTCACATTTTTGTCACACACTATGTTCCCTCACACGCTGCTAGCGTTTGCGCAGTCGCTTGGAAGTTGGAAAACGAGACCTTCCATTGATATGCTAACTGCCATGATGTTAGGACATGTAAGGACAATTCATTTCGTAACGAGAAGCCCATGATTAATATCACCTGAATATTGCATAACATGTTGAGATTCCAGAAATTGCGTAACAAATCCAAATATATTGCTCCATTGTCTAAATAAGCTTGCGTTAGATGCCATAACAAATGACGTGTCGTCTTAATATTCCTGATCTTCGTCCAAGGCCTTGACCCACTTTTACAATCGCCCGTTCCAGTTCCACTCCAAGGAAAAGAGCAAGGAGGGCAACAAGAAGAGCTACTTCGAGGCCAGCGGAAAGTACAAGGCCAGCGGAGGATCCAAACAGAAGGAAGACAAGGGCGGTAAAACGATCCCCATCTGTTTGCCCTGCTGCGCCGGGGCTGCCTGTGTCATTATGTAACTAGTGACATCTGGTGGAGACCGAGAGAACTACTGCATGTGCAGTGCTGACCTGAGCAAGGGTTGCCAGGGAGATCATGTAACTAGTGACGCCTGGTGGTGGCCATGCGAACTACAATAGCCCTGACTTTTTCGGGAGCTTTCTGTAAGATCATGCAACTGGCGACCTCTTCTTGTGACCTTGCCCGGCTAGGTAAGATCAGTCTGTGGCATTACGTAACAGTGACATCTGTTGGTGACCTGAAGTACTAAGTAACCGGAAAAGATGTGCCTTCGCAATCTATTGTTGGCGAGGGAACGCCTGGCTTGTCAGTTTGATCGTTGTAACTTGCCGACCAGGGCCCTGTTTCACCGGTGATAGCAGCACGCTGCTATTCTCTTTCGCGAGCTGACGTCACACTTCTGGTAGTGTTGGAGGAATAGGCTTGTTGACGTCTCCATGGAAACCCAATTTGACACGTGTTATAGCAGCGTGCTACTATCACCGGTGAAACAGGGCCCTGAGGTCAGGTCAGGTCAAACCTGCAGTGTGTGTGATGGTGGTTGATAACGTGCAACTGAGTTTCTTGGTGAGTTGTGATACGTCTTCTTGATGTGGGAGACGATCGCTAATGCGCGTTGCAGTCCTATATCCAATTCAACATTCATTGAAGAGAGAGACCCGTTCTTAGGTCAATAATTTCGTAGTCACCAAAAAAAGGCAGCGCGAGTGCCACTGTTGAAGTAAAAAAGTGCGGTAACGCAATAAAAAAATTAACTCAATGGTGCTTTTACCGTGTCAATGCGTAAATACAAATTAACAAGGAATGTACGTACAAATGTATTCTATTGCGTGGCACTGACACGCAACAAGCATGTTATGACAACCGATGCATCGGTTGTCATAACATCATCGCTTTGGTGCCTAGCGATGGTGCTACGCTCATCGCGAGTTGTGCCAGCGGAACATCATCGCGATGAGCGTAGTGGCTTGTCATCGCTTTGGTGCCTAGCACCGGCAGTGCGTTACAGTGTGCTAAGACCCTAGTCAGTGAACAAGTGTGTTTGTTGCAACTTGTAAAACGATGAACATAGTCACTAGATACTATTGTATTTTCACCTATTCCTGAAAAATTAACTATGATATATGTTTTGATGCTTTACTTTTTCTTTTTAATTAACATGTTTATAATAAAAATGGTTTACGTTGTGTAGTGTGGTGTGCATTTTGTTTACATATATCGACGTAAATTTCTTCCGCAGTTGCTGGGAGAAAAATTCGCGATGCCTTGCGATTCGATGAGCGATTACCGTTTAGGTAAATATTCATAACACACAACTTTTTAAAGGTCTTCACTGGTCCTCGTTCCCTTCAGTTACCATGGAAATAATCGTCTGTATACATGTGTCATATATTGCACGTGCAAGCGTCACATATGTCGCTTACTGGCCGAGACAGCCTCACAAGAGATCGTTCGCAATAGGTTCAGATCGGTCGTCTCGATACGTGGCATGTCCTCCAGTGCCTTTGTAAGCGTTTGGCTGAGATATAAAATAAGGCGCGGCAATTTTGATTTGATTCCGTGGATATAAGCGTGAATATAAACTCGGTCCAATAAAAACATTCATCTGCAGAAGAAACTATCAACGAAATAAAACGTCACAGCGTTAATTCTTAAAAGTTGTGTCATCACATACGGGAGCAAAACCACGGAGAAGCGTACCTGGTTAGGTTCCAAGTGACAGAAAAACATGGCCTCGAACAGTTTAGAGTAAAAACACATCGCGATGGAAATCTAATTTGCAGCTACTAGAGAGTCAGAGTGGGCGAATCCATATAAAAGGGGTAACAGAGAAGACAGCATACGCAATCGACTAGAATGCTTAGCGTTCACTCATCGATCCCTACACGTGCAAATCACGTGTGTGGTATAATCACGTGAACATCATGACATACATCCTCGTAAAACGAATAAATAATGCAGCGTAAAATCATTACAGTCACCAACAGCTATACATATCGTAATGACGTCCATTCTGAAAGCTTTGTGCTCGAAAGAAAGACTTCTCAGTAGCTGGTGACATACTTGGTAACTGACACCTACCCTAGCCAATACTAATCGGAGGTAGCGACCATCATGATTTTAAGAAAAAAAGAACATATCACGTTACACCTAACAGAATTTGCTCGTATAGAATACGATAACATCATCACCGACTCATTATAACGTCTATAATACTGCTACATACAGCCAGACTTCGAACAAAAAAAAAAAAAACAAACAAACACATAAATATAATTCAGATCGATAGCAACGAAATAATCTAGCCATGAACTTTCGTCAGGCCTCTGTCGTAAACGCAACAGTATCGTGTCGAAGCATCGTCGTTCGATCGCTTTAGTCGATGTCGGTGGCAGAAACGATCCTATCTTAAGCTCACCAGGGTCGGAGTCGCTCTCAACTACATAGTTGCTGAGTCGAGGAGTGAGTCTGTGAGTTTGACACGACTCCTGAGTCACACTCGAAACTCAATATGAAGGCCTATGCTCAGTCAGCATTGCTGAGCTGGAGTGAAGCCACGCTCCCAGCTGAGTGAATGCACTACATACGTCACTGGCGACCACCAAAGCCGGCGTGTGATTGGTGGACAGACCGGGATACGTCACTGGCGGCCACCCAAGCCGGCGTGTGATTGGTCAACAGGCCTGGATACGTCACTGGACCAGCGAAGCCGGCGTGTGATTGGTGGACAGACACGGGTATGTCACCGGCGTGTGTATGTTGAGTACGTTACCAGTGTTTTGGTGAGAAGCAGCTCAGCCAACGTGCCTGTTCATTGGCTCACTCCAGAACGTCAAATCTGAAACAGAGGAACACCAATGAGTAACTGAGCTGCTAGGCGGTTATCCAGAGTTCGTCACGTCACACTGAAGAAGGGCGAAACGATCCGCCTAGCTGCGAGGAAAAGACTGTCTCATAAGCACGCATATCTGCCGTGCAAAGGCAAAAACCATTATGTTGGGTCAGAGGCCATTACCTCAGGTCAGAGGTCACCCGAACATAATGGGTTTTGCCTTTAAACGGCAGATATACTGGGAGGCCGGACCAGGAAGAAGTGACTATAAAACGCAACCAAGTCAACGTAAAAGAAGGAAGTCACACGACTGTTCTGCACGGACTAGATACACATCAGCAACAAACGTCATTGGGTGCTCTAAGATATCAACAATTTCATACACCTGCGGCTATAACCCGCGCACCGACGGGGGTCTGCGCCAACTTCGCACCGACGGGGGGGGGGGGCGGATGACCGCCCCCCCCCCGAGATCTCGAGAACGAAGCAAGATAGCGACAAGCGGTAAACGGCATCGGATACGCACGGTCAAGATCTACAATTTTTACAAAGGTCATTTTCAGGTCAGGTCAAAGATGACGTCACAGGCGTCGAAAAAGTCAAAATGGCGGCGCTAGATATTGAGAGAGTTTTTCTCGAATAACTTTCGAATTAGTCAAGATAGGAACAAACTAAGGGCATCATCGTGATCCTCTTGTCAATCCGCATCGAATGATATATATATATATATATATATATATATATATATATATATATATATATATATATATATATATATATATATATATATATATATATATATATATAACGTATCACTTTAGGCCATTTAAATAACATTTAACTCAGACGTTTCACCTTTATTGTCAAGGTTTCATCAGTGTGATATGGCCAACGCTTTCGCCGCAAAAGCCAGAAATGCAAGACAAAAATAACAATCATGTCGGACCGCACGTGATTATATATAAATAGGCACTAATTGCCTCTAATTAAATCTCAAAACAAAGACATGCGTGACATCACAGACACCATAGCGCCGAATCATAAAGAGGGTGAGAGGATCTCATACTCCATTCATTTATTCATTCATGGATTCATTCACTCTCACCCTCTTTCCGCCCTTTAGGTCGAACGCACGTTTAGTCCCCCGTCTCTGTCGGTACCTAGCAGCCCCATCCAGCGGTTCTCCCTCGACCTCCTGTAATCCACATTCCTCCTCCACACTCGTTCGAGTCCGACCACTTGCAGGTGGTCCAAGGAGTGGTCTGTCGCTCTAAAATGCCTACTCACAGGTAGGTCGATCGCCGGGTTCTCCACACGGATAGACGAGAGGTGGTTCTGCACGCGTGTGTAGATGCTATCCCCGGTCTCACCGACATACACAACCCTTTTGCACGCGTCACACCAGATCCCATAGACGACATTTTGTGATCTGCATCCTATTGTCCTATCATAAAAGCACTCTTTGGGGTTGCCCTTTACTCTACCATTGCCAGAATACATCCGTTTACACATGACACAATCTTTCCCACAGCTTTCCTGACTGCGCAGTTTCTCCCCATAAACAGCCCGCTTGGTTTTCCTGTGAACCAGATCGTCTCTGAGATTTCGACCCCGCCGAAAAGCCACTAGAGGGTCCTTGGTGAATATGTTCCTGAGATTTTCAGAGTTCTGTAATATGTGTCTCTTTCTCTGTAGAATTTTGCGCACATCCGGGAGATGACTAGAGTACGTTAGCACCAGAGGGACTCTGTTATCTTTTCCCTTGTCTGAGCTCTCCTTCCCTCTCCCCTTGGCCCCATCCCTATCTTGATTTTCCAGCTTGCCTAGTTCTCTATCTATCAAATGTCCCGGATACCCCCTATCTATCAACCTAGCCCTGAGCTCTTTCTTGTGCCTAGCATAGTCTCCTCCCCTGGAACAAATTCTTTTTAGTCGCATTCCTAGACCAAAGGGGATCGCCGTTTTGGTGTGATGAGGGTGGTCCGAGTCAAAGCGTAGATATGATTTCGAGTCCGTAGGCTTAGTGAAAAGGTCAGTTTCAAGTTTCCCGTCTTTCACGTGCACTGTCACGTCTAAAAAATCAATGGAAACGGGAGACATGCGGAGATCCACCTGGATTTGATGGTGGATAGCGTTTGCTTTTGCGGGAAATTCTCGAAGTGCGTTTTCTCCGTCTACCCATATGCCAAAAATGTCGTCTATGTATCTGAGATACAAATGCGGTTTCTTATCAGATGATTTGAGAAGTTCTTTCTCCCATTCCCCCAGATATGTACAAGCGTAATTGCATCCCAGACGTGACCCGATAGCCGTGCCTTCTAACTGGACGAACTGCCTATCCGCATCTAGGTTGAAGTTGTTGCCTTCTAACACCAGCTCAATCATTTTCAGGAACTCATCGGTGGGAACTGACCTGCTCGACCGACCGTCAAGAGCTGCCCTGCACGCCTCCATCCCTTCCCTTCTCGGTACACTGGGGTACAGTTTCCGTACATCCATGCAAAAAAGCAGGGGTTGTGTCCCTCCCCGTCCTCTCACTGGTTGTGGCAGTTGCTTCAGCTTCTGCAGGAAGTCCCCGGTGTCTCTGACGTAAGAGTCTAGACCCTCCACGTGCTGTTGCAGCTCCTGCTCTGCCATCTCTGCGAGCCGCTCCGTAGCATGGTTCCTGCCGTCCACGATGAGTCGCAGAGGGTTCCCTTCCTTATGCACTTTAGGGTTCCCCTGCACCTGACCAGGTCTCGGGCGGTCCGGTATCAGGTACTTCAGCTGGTTCTTGCCTATGTAGCCCTTCCGATACATTCTGTTGGTGATGTCCTTGACCTGCCTGTTTATATGACCTGTCATGTCTTTCTTCACAGGCTTGTAGGTGGAGGTGTCCGTCAGCTCCTTCCCCAGCTTTGCGATGTAGTCAGATTTGTCCATGAGGACAATGCCTGACCCCTTGTCAGCCGGCCGTATAACCACTTCTTCATCCTTCATCAGCGTTTGCAGAGCCTCCTCTTCCTCCTTGGTCATGTTGGTGGTTCCCGTCCTCCTGATAGATGTGATGATGTCCCTGGTGACCCCTTCAATGTACAGGTCTAAGCAGGGATCCCGACCTCGTGGCGGGGTCCACTTGGACGTCTTATACCGCAGGTCTGGGTCTTCAGTAGTCTCTGAGGATGAGACGTTCGATGCCCAGTACTCCTGCAGCCGCATCAGGCGCTCCCATTCTTTGAGCTCCGATATCACCAGAGCCAGAGGTTGCTTCCGTGATGGGACAAAATTAAGCCCCTTCTTCAGCACAGACTCCTCGGCAGCCGTCAACTCTCTGCTCGATAAGTTGAAGATCCCAGATGACTTGCCTCGTGTGTTGGCGTGGGTCTCTGGCACGTTCTCTTCCGCTTCGACACTGGGGTGTGCTGTCGCTTCTTCTCGTGATGGCCTCTTATCTTGCAGACGTCGAAGCTTCTTCTCTTTCACCGTTGACATCTTGCGTGCTGTTTCTGTCCGATCTTTCTCCATGACGGATCGGAGCGCTGGTCTGCTGTCTTCCGGCAGCTTGCTCTGCACCAACTCCTGTAGGTGATCGATCTCGACCTGGAGGGCAGCCACTTTCTCCGTCGCCAGATCAGCTCCCATCTTGACCAGTTCTGTCGAGGCGTTTTGGAGGATCTCCTCTATCTTGGGGCTCTCACCAAAGTGGCAGGTCCACTTCAGTTGGAAGCCGTTGGGGATTAGGCTTTCTTCAATGCATGTTCTCAGGAAAGAAGCATGCGATTTGTATCGCTCTGCCTTTACCGCAAGTCTCCTTAAGCGGCTAGTGGGAACCTTCTCTGTGTCGCCGTTCCCAGAACCTGATGTGTGCTCGGTTTGCCCACCTAGAGGCCCGTCTGCCTGTCGATTCGGGTGGCTGGTGGTTGACGGCAGCTGCACCTTGTCGGTGGGCGTGGGCTTGGGCCGGTCCGCCGGGCTGTCGTTGGGCCCAGAGGGCATCAGGGTGGCTGCGTCTGTGACTTGACGCAAGTCAACCACGGTCGTTTTTGTTTGCACGTACTCTATTCCGAGTGCTTGGGTAAACAGCCGTCGTTTTGAGGCGTGTTCGTGGAAGCCCCTGAAAGTGCAACCTTCGACCAGCTTCATACCTTCAGAGGTCAGTCGGAGCCACTTGTTCACCCCGTAGAGTGGGGCACAGACAACCGCTACCGCCTCTGGTAGAAGCATCTGGTAGCTAAGCTGCGTGTGGAGATCCACACTGCTGAGGAAGGCGGTTTGAGTCGGGTGCGTGTGGATCCACCCGAGAACCTTCAGCCCACTCTCAATCAAAAACGTATCGTGGCTGGCGTCACTTGTCATCTCTACCGTGTTGTGCGTGCCTGTTTGTTTTGGAACAACCAGATGGGTCACAGTTACCAGTTCACTGTTGACGTCCCCACATAACAAGGCACAGGTTTCAATGCCTTGTTCGGTGTTCACAGCTGCTGCCTCCAGAAACCGTTCTTCTAGGTCTCCAGGAGTCAGCAATCTCCTGAGTTCACCAGTATCATTTATGTCTTGCATTGTGAACTTAAATTCGGCATAAATCAAATAAATAACGTATCACTTTAGGCCATTTAAATAACATTTAACTCAGACGTTTCACCTTTATTGTCAAGGTTTCATCAGTGTGATATGGCCAACGCTTTCGCCGCAAAAGCCACAAATGCAAGACAAAAATAACAATCATGTCGGACCGCACGTGATTATATATAAATAGGCACTAATTGCCTCTAATTAAATCTCAAAACAAAGACATGCGTGACATCACAGACACCATAGCGCCGAATCATAAAGAGGGTGAGAGGATCTCATACTCCATTCATTTATTCATTCATGGATTCATTCACTCTCACCCTCTTTCCGCCCTTTAGGTCGAACGCACGTTTAGTCCCCCGTCTCTGTCGGTACCTAGCAGCCCCATCCAGCGGTTCTCCCTCGACCTCCTGTAATCCACATTCCTCCTCCACACTCGTTCGAGTCCGACCACTTGCAGGTGGTCCAAGGAGTGGTCTGTCGCTCTAAAATGCCTACTCACAGGTAGGTCGATCGCCGGGTTCTCCACACGGATAGACGAGAGGTGGTTCTGCACGCGTGTGTAGATGCTATCCCCGGTCTCACCGACATACACAACCCTTTTGCACGCGTCACACCAGATCCCATAGACGACATTTTGTGATCTGCATCCTATTGTCCTATCATAAAAGCACTCTTTGGGGTTGCCCTTTACTCTACCATTGCCAGAATACATCCGTTTACACATGACACAATCTTTCCCACAGCTTTCCTGACTGCGCAGTTTCTCCCCATAAACAGCCCGCTTGGTTTTCCTGTGAACCAGATCGTCTCTGAGATTTCGACCCCGCCGAAAAGCCACTAGAGGGTCCTTGGTGAATATGTTCCTGAGATTTTCAGAGTTCTGTAATATGTGTCTCTTTCTCTGTAGAATTTTGCGCACATCCGGGAGATGACTAGAGTACGTTAGCACCAGAGGGACTCTGTTATCTTTTCCCTTGTCTGAGCTCTCCTTCCCTCTCCCCTTGGCCCCATCCCTATCTTGATTTTCCAGCTTGCCTAGTTCTCTATCTATCAAATGTCCCGGATACCCCCTATCTATCAACCTAGCCCTGAGCTCTTTCTTGTGCCTAGCATAGTCTCCTCCCCTGGAACAAATTCTTTTTAGTCGCATTCCTAGACCAAAGGGGATCGCCGTTTTGGTGTGATGAGGGTGGTCCGAGTCAAAGCGTAGATATGATTTCGAGTCCGTAGGCTTAGTGAAAAGGTCAGTTTCAAGTTTCCCGTCTTTCACGTGCACTGTCACGTCTAAAAAATCAATGGAAACGGGAGACATGCGGAGATCCACCTGGATTTGATGGTGGATAGCGTTTGCTTTTGCGTGAAATTCTCGAAGTGCGTTTTCTCCGTCTACCCATATGCCAAAAATGTCGTCTATGTATCTGAGATACAAATGCGGTTTCTTATCAGAGATGATTTGAGAAGTTCTTTCTCCCATTCCCCCTGTCGGAAGTACTTACCGTCATAAAGTTGTTTTGCAATTGGAAAGTTTTCCCTTCACGCGCTACGTATGCGCTGCCATTTTTATTTGGTAACATTGTTCGGGTGGGAGGTGGCGCGCCAGTCGAATACAGTGCACCGTGAGAGCTCCGCCTGTTTGTACCGTTTGTACGGGAAGCCGACCGAGAAGAGAGACTGAAACTGATCGCCGTTTTGCTTATATATTTTAATTGTAAATCTAACACCCCCAGATATGTACAACTCGGGCGTGACGTGGCTGTGCACGCAAATGTTCCCGGTATATATATATATATATATATATATATATATATATATATATATATATATATATATATATATATATATATATATATATATATATATATATATATATATATATATATATATATATATATATATATATATATATATATATATATATATATATATATATATATATATATATATATATATATATATATATATATATATATATATATATATATATATATATATATATATATATATATATATATATATATATATATATATATATATATATATATATATATATATATATATACAGGGTGGCGCCGATAAATGAAGACAATATGTGCTCCACACAAAACATTAATTTTTTGGCAAAAGTCAGTACTTTGGATGAAAGCTTGGAACTGGGGTGACTGATGGCGACCTGTCGAGCACACTTCACTCAACGAATCCCCCTCCGCGTCGATGACGGCCTCGATGCGCGGCCTGAACCGGGCGCATGCCTTGGTCAGCATGGTCTTGTCCATCTTGACCATCATCTGCTTGATGGCTGACTTCAGAGAGTCAATATTGTTGTGTGGGTGTTTGTTAGTGTCCCTCTCGACTACGCCCCACACGTAATAGTCGAGCGGGTTCAGGTCCGGGGAGTTTGGCGGCCAGAACTCGGGCGTGACGTGGCTGTGCACGTTGCCGCTCATCCACTCCTGCGTCACCCTGGCCTTGTGGGCGGGTACAGAGTCCTGTTGTAACACATAGGGCCTTCCTCAGCCACTCGGTCGATCCAGGGCTTCACGACGTCACCGTCATCGACGGTGACGTCGACGTCGGGTCATCGTCGACGACGTTCTCGACTTTGGCAATGAAATCGTCGTCTCTGATGGCATCAGATCGTCGGGGATGTTTCTTCCGCTTTGCCACAGACGGGACGTCGCCCACAGACTCATCCAAGCTCCGCTCGACTTTATAATCATGGCTTCTGTCGACCTTGAGGAAGTTGGCGACCTCGGATGCCTAGCTGCCGGCGTGAAGCGCCACAATGACCGCGCGCCTTTTCATTTCTTCCGTTATCATTTTCAGCTGCAACGTTCCCTTTTGCTATGGACAACAATTTACATAAAGCATGGAACATGAATGCAAAAAAAAATATTGCTCTGCACAAAATAGTTTCCTCATAACACAGGTTTGACATTTGTGGTTATTTACCGGCGCCACCCTGTATATATATATATGTTGACCTCGAAAGGTCAAGGTCAAAGGTTGACCTCAGGTCACGTGACCTCGAGGTCATCATGTATATCATTCGATGCGTCTTGACGAGCTGAACACAATGAGACCATCCACGCGTCTGTATCTTGTTCCTGTACGGAGTTATTGGCCAAAAACCTTTGGTGACCTTTGATGACGTCACATGACCTCACAGCTGCCCAACAGCAAAACAGACCTCAAGGTAGTGAAGGTTGATCGTATATGAAGTCATGTATGGTATGTGGGGCCATTCCGACCCGTTTTAGTGGTAAAAACAGGGAGTTGATTTTTCCCCCATTGACTTATAATGGGGAGGTCGCGAAATTGACCTGACCTTAGGTCACCGATATCAAAATTCCGAGATATACAAATTGTAGCTACTAATGACCTAATAATATCCTGCGACTTTCAAAGGCCTCCGACATCTACTGTAGCTCTGGCACGGTGACAAAGTTGCAAAAAAGTGACTTGAGGTTGGGTCATTCAAAGTGACCTGGTGACCTGACCTTAAAAGGTAGGAGGTTGAAACTTGCACACCATGTGTAAAATTGATGAGGGAATAGTCATACCAAATTTCGCGGCGCTAAGCGCGTAGCGCCGCGGTTTTCCCCCTATTCGCGAAAAACCTCAGGGGGGGGGGCGGATATCCGCCCTCCCCGTCGGTGCGCGGGATAACTGTGTGCGATTGACAGCGGATACTGTTGCTTCCATGAAAACCTCGCACGAGAAACTGAGTACCTAGCGACTCGGTGTCACGGTATCCCGGCAGCATTTGAAAACAATGCTGAATATCTAAGCAGATTACTAACCTGACATGCGTGCTGGAGTCATCGTCCAATAGAACTTCCGAGGAGGTATCTGAAAAAAAATGAACAAACGTCAACCGAACGGCATCAAGTTCGCTAAATAGCCAACTATGGAAATCACCAATTGTTGCACCGCACCTACTATCTGTTTGGTTTAACTCATGCCAAGCAATGATCCCATCGAATCGTTGAATGATTTCCATCAACCCTCCTCTGTCCTGCCCCTCTACCCTCGTCCCATCTCCTACTCCCCCTCTACCACTCACCCGACTGATAGAGCACATCGCGCTCATGCAGGAACGGCTCTCCGTCGGTGTCGTAGGCTGCCACCTCCTCTGCCGGCTGCGTCTCCACCATGTCCAGCCACTGGGAGTTGTGCCAGCGGAACTTTTCCAGACGGATCCGAGTGGCCCACGCCGGGTCAGCCTCCTGGCGGCCGAGGGAAGAACTAGTGGTTAACGGGTGGGTCACAAACGCATACCAGGCGATTGCAACTTTCTGCAGAGAGTCGCCTATTGGAAGGAGTTTTTGTAAAGTGAATGGCATGGGTATATATTCAAAATTCAAAACAATATCCATTTATGATGCGCATTTAATTGCCCGTGATGGTTCAATCACAAACGGGAGTCATACTGCACTCCCACAGAGCAAGACAGTAAGCTGATGACTTTTGAGCGGGGGAAGTGACCGCGATCAGGCCCAGTGTGGTTTGCGAGTTCTGAGCGGGAGAACTCACCGCGATCAGGTCGAGAGTGGCGTCACAGACGCGGCGGATCTGGGCGTTCTTGTCGTGCAGCAGGTCGACCAGGTACGCAGGAGCGTCTGGAACACAGAAAAGTATGATCATAAAGCGTCCGAACGGAGACCAACATAACGTGTGTGCTTGTGTGGGTGAGAGCAGATGAGGATAGGAAACTAAATCGTCAGGGACGCATTATGTCAGACGGCAATAACTACATAACAAAATGACAGCACATAATGTGACGATGTACGCGTGGTTTGCCTGGCAGAAAAGCCACACAGTGCGATCATTTTCATGTGAAATTTGTCTCTATTGTGCGTGGCCCGCGCTTGGTTTAAGTTGTCGCTATTGTCCGTCAACGACTCACGAGCGCCTGAGTTTTGTATTACTGACTAACAAGTATCTGACGGAAAATCCTCTGTCACGGACTCACGGGTGTCTCTGATGATGAGCTGCCGCGTGGACGGATGTGCTGTCAGCTGATGGAACACGTAGATGATCTGCAGCACCATCTCGTCGTCCTCTTGTTTGGCTGTCAACGGTGGAGAAATTTCATCAGAAGAGCTCAAGCACAATCCACACTACAATTATACATGAGCGGCAGCAGGGACATGCATAGATCGAACATAAAGCAGACGGGCGGTTACTGAAAGCCACAGCAGCTCCATTAAATATGATAATCATGCGTTCAAAGCATTTGAAGACTATAAAAATAAAACATTTTCGACCAAATGATTGCCACTGGTTGACTGAACGTTGCAGGGCCAAGGAGCACCGTGATGACTGCCTATCTCTAGTCTATCCAGGGATGGAGGACACCACCCTTCATATGCTCCCATCCGTCCGGAAAGACGGCAGGAGAGAGAAAGAAAGAGACAAGATCAAATATATTGGAAAGGAGACGAGGGCAAGGAGGGTGAAAGGACGGATGTCTCACCGTTCAGCTGGAGAGATAGAGAGACAAGATCAGATGGCTGGAAGGAAGGCGGGGGGTAAGGATTGGAGGACGGACGTCTCACCGTTCAGCAAGTCGACCAGCGGCGGTAGGAGTCCCGCCTCGGCCAGTAGCAGGGAGCAGGCCTCGTCGGCACAGGCGGTACCCATCAGGACCACTACTTCTAGTAGGAGGTCGTCCTCGCAGCTCCCTGGACGGGCGCAGGTCATACACGCATGTCAGACACTGGACACACCACGTGCTTATCGAGACGCGATATATGCCCCAAGAACTTATCAAATTAAAATATAGAATGATCCCACCAAAATGCGTCAGCGCCATTTAAAGTAAAAGGCATATGAATTGCACCACTAAGAGTTCAGAACCAGAGATCAAAATGCTTCAAAAGTGTTCCAATGTCAAACAAGAATTCATCTAACCGGCAACCACTGTAAACACATCACTTCTCCCAGAGCCGTCTTTCTGTTTATCTATTAATTTATTCATTTATCCAAATTCACTCCCACCTGAGGTCAGTTTGCTCTTCATCCAGTCGACGAGCCGGAACTGTCGAAACAGCCGGTCAAAGTCCAGGTCGGGGATGGAGAGGTTGCCCAGCACGCCGACTGTCTCCACGACAAACTCCTCCTCGGAGCACGAGTGGAGTGATTCGGCAAACTCGCCCAGAAACTCCTGTAACGGGGAGAGGGGAGAGAGTTAGAACTCCTACTTGGAGCAAGAGTGGAGCGACTCGGCAAACTCGTCAGAAACTCCTGTCGGGAGAAGGGGGATTTATAACTCCTCGGAGCACGTCGACTCGACAAACTCGCCCAAAAACTCATGCATGACATCAGAAGGAAAGTTACAACTCCGCGACACACGAGTGGAGTGACTCGGCAAACTCGCCAGAAATTCATGTGTCAGAAGAGGGAGACGGTCAAAAGTACTCGATGGGACGGCTATCATTCCATTCCAGCTACCTGACAGATAACATCGTGCGTTTACAAATTAATACAGGAAAAGCCAGGCTCGTTGCTATCTTTAAAAAGTCATTGGTAACATTGGTAAACATTTGTAAACTTGTCCGTGGTATCACGGACAAACTACTTAGAATGCTGAGAAATTCAAGCAAAGAGCGAGAAAGACAGATGTAGAACACCTAAAGCAGCTCTTATTCAACAAGGTACAGGGACCCGCAGTTGCTTCTGTACACACTAGTATTTCAGCGTATTCTTTGCCTGTGACACCGTTGGAGGCGAATTGGGAATTGATTGTGTGCTTATTAAAACCACCATCTGAAGGGCTTTAAACTGATGTGCTGTTCTCCTAATTCAGTGAACTTTTTATGGCTATATCAGCAAAACATTGTTTTCAGCGCTTTTTCCTGCCCCATTCCTTCTGAAACCTGGAACCGCTTATTCCATTTACTCCTGCCATCTGACGATGGTCGTGCTGACTTGTAGTTCCGGCGCTAGTTACTGCTCCAGTTTTGCACCCGGCACAAACTCAGGCGGCACCGGGCCGCATGGCTCGACCAGTGAGTGTCGGACCGAGCCGACTGCCTGGGGCGCGGTTAAATCGGACGCCCTGCTGGGGAAGGGGACGGGAGTGAGGGGAAGGGGAGGAGGTGGTCACGTGGTCCGTCCAAGCTCGCAGACGACCTGTCCTGCGCCGAGCCATGTTCCGTGATCCAAAATGGCACGAGAGCTGTGCCGAATGCCCGGAGGAGACGCTTCGAAAGCGAACATGAGCAGCACTAATTTACCATATTCTGTGGAGATAAATGAATATTATCTTAATGCGGAAAAATTGTATGCCTAAGCTGTATAAGCTGTATCTTTTTAAAAGTTGTAAATAGGATTATTTTTAGGGACTTATAGGTTTCGTATACACAGTGAATTGTGTTACATTAAGCCGTTTCGCTGTTATGGTTACTAACTGAAGAGTTATCCTTTTTTCTCACAGGGAATGAGAATACAATAACAATACGAATAAAACCAGACGTTTCGCACAAAAAGTGCCTCCGTCAGTGGCAAAAAATAAGTAATTAGGCATACATGTTTTATTTCGATAAAATCGATGAAGTAGTTATCCTTATTTTTCAAGATATATTTTCAGCAGTTTTAAGCACATCATGGAAGCTTATAAACATTTGTGTATTTTATCGGCAACCCGGCTGGCCAGACCGAGACGGTGCCGCATTTAGTTCTCATCGATGTTAAACCTATACACTTATTTTTCTCCGCTGACGAAGGCACGTTGTTGTCCGAAACGTTTGGTTATATTCGCATTGTTTTTATATTGTCGTTGTCCGTGAGAAAAACATACTCATATGGACTGGTCTCAGTTCATGTAGAAATTGTTGCACATTCATCAACACAGATAAAATGAATATTAGCCCTCACCACACATATAAGTAGAGGTAAGTAGACCGCGCCCCCTGTTTTTCACCAATAAATCGCGGCAAAGCGAAGGAATGCGACGATTCTTTGGTGCCCTGGAGTTAATCAATTTTACAACTTCCCGGAAAATTAAATAGCCCTTATCATTTTTGCATCTTGTGTGATAATTTTAAATCCCTGAACCGTTGGAGGAACAAATTACTTTTAACCTGTGATTATTTTTCTCAAGATCATGTCAGGCCAGAATAGCAATTGAAAGTCAGCGCACATCTTCTGTGTGTTTCCATAGCCGTTTCGTGATTAGCAACGTGACAACATGTGAAATATACTATCTAATGTTTGTCTCATTGATTGTTGTGGGTGCCAAGGTCACGTGAAACTCAGGTTAAGGTCATTTACTTGAAATGATATCGGTTAGCTTCCTTAAATTTACACCTTTTTACTGTGTTTTTTAGGAAGTGTTGGTTTGAAATTTAGCACCCATTGTAGCATTTGAAAACTAGGCATACTTAGGTATCAGTTATAGTGCCTATGCAATATGTTGCAAGGCTGTAAGTGCTGGCTAACATTCTATGGATAGCCGGCAGAACGCCTAATGGGTGATCTGGCGTGACCCGTCCTACCCCAAATGCTTTGATACATCATCTTTGATCAAATCATGTGCAAATTCGGAGTCAGAGGCAAGCCAAGTCCCAGCAAATTTCACATGTAGAAATTCTAGCAGGACCCAATATTCCGTGCTTTTGGGTTATTAACCTAATCTGGGAGGTCAACCAGTGACCTACATAGGATCTCAGCATTGACCAGGACATAAAAATAATTGGCTTTCTCTCGTCAACGATGACCCTCAAATCATCGGATTTCTCTTGTCACGAGCAGCTCGCTCTTTTTTATTTTTCAGCGGAGCTCTGGCTCTTTTTATCAAGGGCCGAATGGCTGAGGGTTTCTACGCCCCTTCGCTACATGTAAGACGCTGAAAAGCAATGCCTAAATGGGTGAGGGTTAAATATCGATTGGTATTTAAGTGCCGAAGCCCGAAGCACTTTAATTTACTTCGATAGCAGTTTTTAAGACCAACGAGCTCGAATACTGTAACTTCTTGAACAATGTAAGCACAACATAAAATGAATCGTGAGAGAAGCGGCTCAAGATCAAGGAGCTATGAGACACTTAATAAAAAACGGCATAGATTAGAAACTGCACCTAACTTGCACTGGTTTTTAACCCGCGCCCCACTGGGGGGGGGGGGGGGGCTATTTATAGCCCCCCCCTCCCGTTTTTCTGCAATAACTTCCAAACCGCTTGACGTATCGACGCCAAACTTTCAGTACCTTCGGCTGCATCAATTTGACACCTTGTGTCAAAATTTGAAATTCGTACCTACCATAGGTCGGCCGGAAATGACGTCAGAGTGACGTCATGTTCGGCCGATTTCGACGCAAAACATTGAACCACGGCAATCGCTCCCAAGAGCTCAGTTTTTAAGCTAGATCCAATTTCTTTGCATGAGAGGACTCAGAATAGACTGCGCTATCAAACTGCTATCTCGGATTTTCGAAATTTTGAAAATTTCGAAAATCTTAAATAATAAAACTCAAAATTTATATTTTTACATTTTTTTCAAAAAGTTTTTGACTTTTCGAAAAACCGGAATATATGTGATAGAATGCATTATTATGACTACCTCTAGCAAGTTTTAGCTAAATATCTTCAAAAATGGCCAAGTTATACGCATTATTGCAAAAAATTAACAATTATTAATTTTTCAAATCAATTTTTCAGCACGAATTTGACATCGTACGCCAATATGAATAGCACCATCGTGTTCCGGAGCTCAAACTGCATCGAATAGACACCTTTTTTGTTGAAAAAATTATAACTTCAAAATTTGACTTTTTTTGACCTGAAAGTGACCTGACCTAAGCTAAATTTGACTCAAAATGACCTCGCATGACACAGACGACATCAAATTCGAAATGTTTGGCCTAAATGGACCATAAAACATGTGTCACGTGACCGACGGATGATATAATATTTTCGTGACCTGTGATGACCTGACCTTGACCTGAAAATCAAAGTACAAGTTTGGTACCCTCAGAGTATCTAGAGCATCTGTTCACGAGTGTGTGAACCAAAAATGAGCCTGATCTGACTTGTAAGACGGCGGCCAGAGCCCAAAACGTGAAGAAGCCAAAATGCTAATAATTTTTACTTTGACCTGACCTGTGACGTCATCAGTGACCTCGAGGTCAATAAAATTAGGTTTCGCTCGACAGTTTTTCCGGGGCTTTCAGACGCCGTTTGAATTTTGACGATCGGCCCAGTAGTTTCGGAGTTAGGAGTTAGGAGTTATGAATAGCCCCCCCCCCCCCAGTAGGGCGTGTTATACGCAGACCCCAGTGGGGCGCGGGTTAAGCCTTTTCGTTGCAGACTGGTAGATTAAATTTTAGGATTGATTTCAGCTGATGCTTAAATGGAGCTATTCATTCGTTCATTCATGCGACCATCCAATTCCATTCATAAAATAAGCCGGTGACAAAATTGTTCATTTTAGATAAGTGTGAAATACAAACTCAATAAAAGTTTAATGATACGGCAAATTTGACAGCTTTTATAATGAACAGACAAATAACTTTAACAAATCAAAGTTGAGAGCCCCAAATAGGGGAGAGTGAGGTAAGATGAGCCAAGGGGCAAGTTAAGCCACCCCATGTTTCTCAGCTCCTATGGCGCTAATAGACTTGAGCTTCCATGTGCCGTTCGCTTACGATGCTGCAGTCTTTCACGTGAGACGGCAACGTTCTCACGCTCAGCACCCGGTAACCTGTGGTATCGCCCCTGATAACTAATACATGTTTTGCCTTTAAAATGAGATGGTTGTTATCTGCGGTGCATGGTTGGTTATTTTCCTTAGCGGGTGTCATTAATCGAAACTGGCCATGGATGGGGCAAGATGAGCCATTTTCACCTGGGGGAGGATGAGCCGGATAAGCCATTGTTGTCTCCGCTGTCGAAAACCAAACTGAGCTGCGCTTGTTTCTGCTGAATAAAAATGGTAGGAAATTGTTTTTCTTTGTTGATTACAGAAGTTGTAAGTGATTTGCAGATTATCTGAAGGATAAAATGATTTCTTCCGTGATAGAAAACTTGACGAGTTATTGGAAGGCTTAAAACAGTCACTTTTTGATGGCCAGGAAAAAAAACTTTGCCATAAGTATGTATGCCATGGAGTAAATAAAAGAGCCCACTCTTCGCCGCGCCCGGGAAAAGAAGAGGTTCGCTTTTTCTATCCATGCTCAACTTTCCCCACGACGTGTCTCAACTTACCCCGCCCATGGGGTAAGATGAGCAACGTGCAAGATGATTTTGGACGTAGCCTTTTAAGTACAAAAATAAGCGGTATGAAACATTTCTGGCCACCATTACATGCGCAAATGACCACTCTGTCCGGGCATTTTTTAGGCCATCACAGTATTTGTCAACAATTGTTGTTTTGGGGACTGGGGAGGGTGGTTACTGGCTCATAAACTGCCCCCCCCCCCCAAAAAAAAGAAAGAAAACGAAACCGATCATCCGTGAAAAGAATTATTGAGCTCGAACCAAGGTGCCGAATCGATTTATAGGTATGCAGGATGACTAACAATGCCACTTTTTGACTTCTTGTGTCAAATAAATTCCATCATCTGGATAGCACGTCAACATTCTATTTGACATTTTGCAACAAACGTATACTATTTGGCGCGACTAGCCTAATAAATGTTCTGAAATTAAAACCTTTTCTTCGCAATTAACTTGGACCACGTCATCCCAGCTTATGCACGACAAAAATAAAATAATGCTTCAGGATCACTGGCCTGAATTCCAATGCTTAAAGTTTACTCAAAACCGGTGTGGCTGAGGCACTCTTCGCTACATCTCGTGACGGCCACCATTGTGTTGCAATTTTTCGGTAAGCTATAAGTTAATAAGGAAAGGATTGGTGAGTGGGTTGAAAACAGCCCTCACCCTCCACCCCCCCCCCCCTCCTTCTTCTGGAAACATAAGTAACCGAAAGATCTGGCGATGGTTTATCCACCTCTGCCGCCGCGCTGCGAGGCCTCGATTCGTTCGGTATGTGGCTTCCTGAGCGGTCCTTCCCGGAGGCAAGGTGAAAGGTCATGGCCTGTATCAGAAATTCATACGTTGCTGAATATGTTTTATAGTTCTTCCAAGGCCTTGGACACGGTTTTATTATATCGGATAAGCATTGCACTTTCTTGTCAATCAATACATTTAAAGAAAGCTTGATCATAATCTTATACTGCGGCAATTGTAGTTCTGCTTACGGTTGCCTCTTTATGATACGGGCCACCACCACCTCCACTACGCTGGAGCTCTGGCGTTCTACCCCTCCCCGCTACGGACCGGCCCTCGGGCTAGGTGTGTTAGTACTGAGCGCAAACCTGTAGTAGTCACGTGACTCTCATTCACGTAGCGTGAACGGAAGCTATAGGCGATACCAAGGACGGGCTCTGGGGAGGCAACCGGCGCGGAAAAATAGCACGATTGTAGTTTTGGAAGAATATCTGTTGCGGTAAGAGGAATTATACAAAACATACGTCCTAGGAGCAAACATGTGTTAATAATTCCTCCGTACTTTGCGCTACATTTCCTTTCTCCAATGGCCAGCACTTAGCAAATAATAGCGCAATTCTAAATTGGTAATATATGTGTACAGTAGCAACTGCGGGTCCCTGTACCTGGTAGGTAAGGAAAGCGTCTTTACCATTTAAGTTTCCTATACTAAGTTTCCTATACTAGCCCATTCCACTAACCAGGAGATCACCTGTCCTAACCGTATTCACACTCACCAGGAATAGAACCTTGGTCTGTCCCTCGTGCTGGCTGATGTTTCTGACCATCTTCATGACCAGCGGGTCCTGGTGCTGGAAGGCACGTGCCACCAGCAGCGGCAGACCGTCCCCCTCGCAGACCAGCTCGGCGTTGCGCTTGTTGGCCGTCAGGTTGATACACAGCGCCATCAGCTCCAGACCTGGCGGGAGGGGCAGAGGCGTAACGAAAGATCCGCTTAACAAAAATACAAGCCTGATATATCAAACAACTTAGAACCTGGCATCCTGACCGTGGAAAAGTTTCTTTATTGTCTCATAAGAGGTATTCAGTGAATCATGGAATATCACCCATTAGCAGGAGACTGAACCCGATGATTGATCATTGCACTTAAAAATAAAAAAAATAAAAATTAAGATATTCGACTTGAAAATCAAAACCAGCGTCTCAATAATGAAGAAAAAACATATAGTTTTATCATATTGTGGGATTGTTATACGCACCGACTTTGGGTTCTGGCCACTCCAGAACCAGTTTCATACAGATGGGGATACAGTCGGTGTAGGCGAACATGGACTTGACCTTGTCGTCCATGGAGAGGTGGTAGAGCACGGCTATGGCGGCCGAACGCTGCCGAGGCGACGCTGCAGAAGAAGAAAAACACAGCGATGTTAGGCGAGGTCACAGATAACAAGGGTGGCGAAGAATCGTCGCTGAGGGGACAAGGCGGGGTTGATGCGATTACGTAATATATAGCTAGGTGCCTAGGTGGAATGCTCTTCGAAGTGTTATACATCGGTAGCACATCAGCTGCACTTCGTTACCTTTAGATTAGGTTAGTTTCATCAAACTATAACGCATTCGATCATTCATTCGATGTCCTGAAACAACACAGCAAAATCCATCGCCATCCTCTCACGCATCAGCTCCCTGTAAAACTAAACCAACTCCCACCCCTTTCCTTCCCCACCAGTGAACTACCTTCCTCCGCCCCTCCCCACCGGTGCACTACCTCCCTCCCGCTCCCTTTCCCCTCACCCTCTACACTCACGTATCAGGTTGACCAGCTTGGGCAGGAGTCCGACGTTGACCATCTGGGCGCGGTGTTTGGCGTCAAACGACAGGTTGAGCAGCAGCCGGATCGTCACGTTCAGCAGGTCGGCGTTATCGTGAGGCACCAGAGGGGAGAGACGCTCACACACGGACAGATCCAGCTGTGAGGGGAGGACGGCAGGTCACTCACGACTGAGAGGAAGCATGGTATGTTGGTTATAAATGAACACTATACTACTCGGAGAGGATAACGGAAATATTACACTGCCATTTGGAACAGACTAGCCAGTATAAGAGTTATGTTTGCTATTAACACGCGCACTGCAGGGGGGGGGGGTTGTTTTCAACCCCCCCCCCTGTGGTTTTTCGCAAATCGCGAGAAAACGGCGGCGCGTAGCGCCGCCAAATTTTGCATACCTGTTCTCCCAACTTTTGCACACCTTGAGTAAAAATTTTGACCCCAGGTGACCTATGGTCAGGTCACCAGGTCAGGTCAAGTGACCCTACCTCGAAACGTAAATTTCGCAGTTTGCAATCCCACCAAGCCCACAGTTGTTGAGATATGATCTTGAAACCCACAGGAAATAGTAAAGTCATCACGAGCTACAACTTGTATATCTCGGAATTTTTATATCGATGACCTAAGGTCAGGTCATTTTTGCGACCGGCCCATTATAAGTCAATGGGAGAAATTTCAACTTACTCTGAATGCCATCCTATGACTTCAATACGCTCAGGATCATAGTATTACAGGTCCCTGTTGGTGATTTCACCGAAACATATCACTTATGACCTTTGGAAGGTGATCTCCAGGTCATCTTAGGTCACCTGAGGTCACCAGCGGTTTTTCTTCAATAACTTGAGATTGAATAGAGATAGAGACTCCGTTCGACGTTTATCGTGTTTTTCTCGTCAATGCGGATCGAATGATATGCAACATGACCTATTTCGGTCAGGTCATGACCTTGACCTGAGGTCAATTTTTCAACTTGACCTTTCGAGGTCATATCATATATCATTCGATGCGCCTTGACGAGCTAAGAACGATGGCGTTCGAATCGATCCTCTGTCTTGTGTGCAAGACAAGTTATTCAAGAAAAACTACCGCGAAATTCCTGTTGTGAAAATCGTAACATTTTGTCTTCGGTGACCTCTGGTGACCTCGTTTTTCACCTGACCCAAAAATGATCTTGGTATTTCTTGTAGATCTCATCTCAACCTATCCAACGCCGTTTACCGCTTGTCGCTACGTTGCGCCGTTTTCGAGATCTCAGGGGGGGTTGTTTTCAACCCCCCCCCCCCTGCAGTTCGTGTTCGGCTCAGACCCGCTGCAGTGCGCGTGTTAAGTTACACGTTTTAGAATATGTAAAACCAGCGCAGGCAGGCTTCTGGCGCAAGCGAACAAATCATTGCACAAGATGAAGATAGTCAATGCACCTCTACATCAATCCGCTTTAGAGATAATCCTAAATCTATCCAGCACTCTCGGGCGCCTAAACACCCTCACGCAACTGACAAAGGTGTGCAAACAGCACCCTTAACCATTCCACAACCCTACATCCTCTCCTGAACCAGCGGTGCCAGTAGCCACCGCATATACCCACCATGTCATCCTTGTTCTCCACGTAAACGGACAGCTTCTTGAGGAATGTGACGACCAGCAGGAGGAGGTCGGCGCTGTCCCGGTCCAGACACCGGCACAGCAGGGGCACCACGCCGCGACGGCGCATCTTCTCCTCCGTCTTCACGTCTTCGGCCAGGTTCAGGAGGAGGTACAGACACACTGAAATGGAAAGAATGCAAGGCATCAGTAAACAGGAACATTCAAGCGCATAAATAGCTGCACTGACACAAACGTCCTTGTAACAGATATTGTTGTGTATAATCGTTCAACTAACAGAACTATTTTACATTATTTCAAATGTAAATATTCACGTTGCCGGGCTAAACAAAGCAGCAATGACATTCTGTTAAAGCCGTGTTGTATTCTCCCTAATACACAAATGCCCATCGAATCTACAACAGGCACGGTACCCATCATCACGTAAGTCTCTCTGCCCACTCCCTTCCCTCCCCGTAAATCTCACCTCTGAGCAGCTGGTTTTGTTTCTTCACCAGCCTGACCAGTGTAACCCGCGCCTGCTGAAACTCAGCCTCTGAGGCGGCCCGTTTCCTGCGGGCCAGGTCCTCCCTCCACTGGGCGTAGCGCTTCAGCTCGTGGTCGACGATGTCCATACATAGCGAGCCCATCTGTGCGCACGATGACAAAAAATAAGATAAAATGCATCTTAAACCTGGCTAGGTGTTTGTGTACACATACATGACACGTGCAATGTCCGTGGAAATGTAGAAAACAATGCAGATTGTAGGAATAAAAAGGAAGTGTGTTTCGAAAGCTAAGATAATACTCTAAAAGGCATGACCATTCACAAATATCAGAGCTAATGTCATAAAAATAAATCCCAAAGTCGGTCTACTTTATGTTTTGCAGTATATCGGCAAATTTCACATTTCAAAATTATGGTCATAACAAGTAAATATAAAAACAGAAATGACTTATCAACCCCAGACGTGCTATTTTTAGTCCAAGGGTAACTCAGCCACTAAGCTACTTCACTACCTAGTACCTACCCCAACTCAGTACCTAACCCACAAGAACTCTTTTCCCCTGACGTGCCATCGTACCTTCTGCTTGACGATGATGCCGTGGAACTGTGAGAACGTGGACATGCAGAAGAAGATGTAGACGATGCTGGTGGCCAGCGCCGTGGACTTTTTCCACTCCTCTCGCAGAGTCCGCGACAGGGCGCCAATCATGGCTTCTGTCCGACAGACGGGCATTATCAAACAAAGTATAAGGGGCAGCGTGAAACGATAGGCCCGAGCAGTGAGTAGGGTGGAGTGGACAATGTACAAGGAACAAGACTATTGCCTAATTTATATGAGGTTTCACTACATTATGCCTAATACGACGGCCTATTTCAGCTATCACTCAAACCATCTACGTCTTTATATAAACTACACCACAGAACAATAAGACCAATTCTGGTGACAACCAATTCTGGTGACACCAGTATTTACTAGAGCTAGTACGCCGGCTCCGGCGATAGCTTTTACTAGCATCACGCCTAAATGCTGTCTCACGAATTATGTCTGACATTGTTTCACTTGTTTGGACCAATTTGTCTTCATTATTTTCTATCACCGTATCTGTTCAGTTATCAGTCTTTGCTCCACTACAACAATCTCCCAGTCCACCTCAGCCTTTGTCTTACCGTTATTAACCAGCTCGTCGAGGTTGTCGGGGTTCCTGGCCAGCTGGAGGAGCAGCTGGGCGCCCCGCTCCTTCTCGGAGAGCTCCTCATAGAGCAGCTCCACATAGCTATCCACGTCGGTCAGCTGCGCCAGCTCGGCCGGCTCCGGCGACGAGGCGGCAGAGTCGGGACGCGACGGACCTGCGCAGGAGAGAGAGAGAGAGAGAGAGAGAGAGAGAGAGAGAGAGAGAGAGGGTGGGAGAGAGAGAGAGAGAGAGATGGAGAGAGAGAGAGAGAGAGAGAGAGAGAGAGAGAGAGAGAGAGAGAGAGAGAGAGAGAGAGAGAGAGAGAGAGAGAGAGAGAGAGAGAGAGAGAGAGAGAGAGAGAGAGAGAGAGATGGAGAGAGAGAGAGAGAGGGGCAGGTAGGGCACGTGGTTAGGGACACGTGAGGCCATTCGACCTTTCTGCGGTGAGGCTGTAACATGCATACGCCCCTACATAACAACTGGTGTAGTTCGATATTTTTCTCGGGTTAACCCTCGCATGTGTGCGGCGTTTGCCAGCTTCTAATGTGTAGGGGGGGGGGGTCGGTTGGACCCCCCCCCTTGCCGTTTGGCCCCTGATCGAGCTAGAGCTTCGCGGAAAAAACGAGCGTGTTGCCCGTGACGAGAGGAAGCCGATGATACCCAACTTTCAGGTCCTAGGTCATTGGTTGACCTTCCAGGTCAGGTCAATGACCCAAAGTCGGGAAAATCGGGACCTATTAGAAAGTCGTAAAGTGTGGCTGCTAAGGGGTTTTTCGGGGTGCTGATCACGAATATCGTGTTAGTTTTGATCACAGATGATGTCTTTAAGCATTTAGACCAGGTCGGGTCAGGTCAGGTCAGGTCAACCAGTAGGGGTTGTGACGGGTATTCGTAGTACGTGTCAACCGCCTCTGACAGCTTCGTAACATGTTACGAAGGCACAAAACTACTTCGTAAATGTTCAAATGGTTGCTAAATTCGAATTCAGCTCCAAAAACTAGCCTAGAAACATGTAAAACACGAAAAAGTGAACCGAGGTCACCCGAGGTCACCAAAGGTCAATGACCTGACCTGACCTTCAGGTGACCTTGACACCCACCCTAATGCATGGGAGCAACATCAAATCACATGTTTGAACGTTTGAAACCACGAAAAGCTTGCAAACGCGCGGCTAATGCGAGCCGACATACGCGGAATCGCGATTCCGGCCAAACATGGTCTCGGAAAAGAGGTCACAGGTCAAAGGTCATTTGGGTCAGGGTCATGAAATTTTCAGGGTAGGTGTAAAATTGATCAATGCGAGGGTACTGAATGTTTCGTCGCGATCGGCCGCTTTTTACGCGAGTTATTCGCGAAAAACCATGGGGGGGTCCATCCGACCCCCCCCCCCCTACACATGCGAGGGTTAAAAAGGACCTAATAGAACGACAATGTCTCCTTCACTGACTGAACTAAAACTCCCCCTCACTGACCCTGTGTGTAAAGACTCTGTCTCCCCTCCAGTCTCCACTGACCCCGCCTGGTTGTATCTCCTTTCCGCATGGTTGTATCCCCTCCCTTTCGACCCGGTATGACTCTGTATCCCCTAGAGTCTCCTGACTGACCCCGTATAACTTTATCCCCTCAGCTCGACCATGTATGAGCCCTTTTTTCCCTAGTGAACCAACCTGAGTAGTAAAGTATTCTTGGTATGAGCTGTCTCCCCTCCCCTGACTGCATGACTCTGCTCTCCTCACCAAATATGCTGTCAAGAAAACTGTCTTCCCTACTCCGACTGACATGCTGCTCTCTCTCCTCCACTAACCCGGCGCGGCGCTCTGCTGCCTCGTCTCGCCGCCCCGCGGCGGTCGCCGGTGCTGCAGGTAGAAGATGGCCTGCTCCAGCTCCGGCTGACGTGACGGCGGGATCAGCTGACAGCGAGCCATCACCTCACGCGCCAGCTGCGCCACGTTCGTCTCAGCACTCAGAGATGTCAAGCGGATGATCTTCTGACATTCCTGGAGGGATGGAAAGGGCAGCATTCAAAGTTTTTTTTAAATAACTTTTAATGATCATTATTCAACAGCAGTAGGTATGCTAAAAACTGATACAGGAACAAAGCAACAGCCAATCCCAGTCAAGTTTGTATGTCAAGAGCACCTGCTAGGTACCAACCCTAGCCAAATGCTCTGGCTCAGCCTGCAGGACAAACACAAACCTTTTTATCCCCAAGCATGGGATCTCCAAGCTCTCCGAGGATGGTGGCCTCCAGCTCATAGTTGACTAGCAGAGCCTTCTCGGTAGGATGGACATCAATGCTGCCAGTCTTGACACGCTTCTTCAAATACTTGGCATCTTCTGACTGCATTTTAGGAGAGCAGTGCGGTGCCTGGAAAATGTGAGAATTGGAAATGTTATTCAGCCTCAGACAGTAAAAGTTCATGTTTCCGAGTTCCGACGACATGTCCGGCGTAAGGGGCAGATGGCGCCAAAAATTCCGGGCAATGTCCGGCGTAACTCCGTGCCTCGAACTTTTGACGCACGGACGAGCCAAGAAACCTCGGTGCAAGCAGAAGATTTAAGAAATTCCGGTGCAAGACAATGAGACCTAACCCTAGCTTACTTCACTCACTACAATCTACATTCGAATCAAGTACCCACCTACACGAAAGCAACGAAATTTGTCACGCGTAAACCTGAACCGATGAGTACCGACACCCTCAGATAATTGGGACTATAGGGTGCGATCTAGACTGGTTGATCTTCGGGTTCCTAGCCAGAGAAGTTGTGTCTGGAGTGAACCCTACCCGAGCAAGGGGGGCTTTTGGGCGCCCGGACTACAGTGGTCATCGGCGAAAGAGGTGACTGACATTGTGAACTGTCTTTCAGGGGGGTTCCGCAGGGCTCGAGTAGACTGATCAAATTATTAGGAGGGTCCTGATGAACATGTCATGTAATAACTATAGCATGGATTACGTTTGGGACTTAGGATGTAGTTTGTTTGCAGAGGTAGCTGAAGAGAAACACTAAAGTTTTACATGCAGTAGATCATGATGATGAAAGTTCAGTGCTACCAATGATTGTCAATTGTCCGGTGCTGGTGTTATGTCAAGCGACATTCCCGATATTGATGTGACTTAGAATTAAATACCACAACACAGCTGCACTGCTGTTCAAAAATGACACTGCAGAAGGACTGGGTAAGGGAGGACGAGCTAACCCAGGGCACTGGTCACTGGATGTGCCCAGTGTAGCATGCACATGTGGGAGGCAGGCAGCTGGCAGCAAAGCTGGCTGGCTGTGCCATGGGCCAGCAGCTGATACCATTGGTGGTGTCTAGGCCAGCCTCCAAGATGACATCTTAAAAAGCAGCACCTGAGACACCCAGATGTCTTTTATCTATGTGGGTACCATATCCACACACTGACTGCATTGGCATGTCATCTATTGAGAAAAACTTATGATGAAAAAACATTTTTGATCAACTTGCTTTTAACCTAGTCTTTTTCTTATTATCATCAAACTTCTTAGTGTTTGGTTCAAGAATGTGTATGTGATTACATGGTAAAAACATAAAAATGCTAAAATTTGATACAAATGAAATAAGCCTCAGCCCTCAAGGCTCAAGGTTCAGTGCAAACTGCAAATTGCACCAAAATTTCAGTACAAGTCCCTTGCACTCAATTTTGACACATGAAATTATCTGTGGTATCAGCAAAAAAAAACATTTATTTTTCCAGCCTCAGATTATCAGATTCACAGACATGTGCATTTCCTCATTTAAATTATTGCCTACCATCATTGGCCATTAAAAAAAAAAAAAAACACTTAAGATCACATCATTGTCACACAAGCATTGACACATTCATAGAAAATATTGTTTACAAGTTTTTATCTATTGCTAACAGTCTTATAACGTGCAAAATAGGCATGCACAGAGCACAGTATGCACATAACAGACTGAGCCATGTGTGGGGCAGGTATAGGTATAACCTTGTTTTGACATGACAGCAGTGCTGGAAATGAGGCCGCTTTCTGGTCCCAGCGTTTTATACTCCGGGTGGGTTAGTCCCGTCCAGCGTTAAGCCTTTTGGGACCCAATCAGGGTCTCGGTTGTTTTCAACGTTCGCTCCAGTTGAGATGCAAAGTTAATAGTTGCACGAAGCTTATTTAGGGCCAGCCAAACCAGCCCAGTCTGCAGTTACTGTTAAATGTATGCATATAGATGAGAGAAAAAGTTTTGTAGAATCATTTAATTTCAAAGTTGTATATTCAGAGGCCCCAAATAAACTTCGTGACTATCAACTTTGCATCTCGATTGGGCAGAGCGGCGAAAACAGCCACGGCTCTGAGAGGGTCCCGAAAGGCTAAGCGCTAGACAAGGTTTAAGGTTAACCCAACCGGAGAATAAAACACTGGGACCAGAAGGCTGCCTCATTTCCAGCACTGCATGACAGCACTACAAGTTGAACTACAAAAACAATTGCAGCCTATGAGCTGAGCATACCCATGTATACAATTTGTTAATGCTAATGCGATATTTGTTTTTCGCACCGATTCCAAATCTGCCCTTCAGGCTCTAGAAAGAACTGATAACGTCACCCACTACTGCATCCAAAATATCCACAAAATGCTACTAGAAGTTAGAACTAGACGAAAGTCAGCATATAACTTTTCTTTGGGTGCCAAGTCATTGCAAAAGGTTGTGAGGTTGTAAACTGAGTAGAGATGCCATCTATGACGCAGATGCGACATTTACAGCACCGAGGAAAAGGTGCTTATGTCAAAGATTACCTCGTTATGCTAACGAATTGACAAATCGGTTAAGCTCAAAAGGGGCAATAAGTAATCATCAATGTTTAATTATCGAAAAAGTTCTTTGAATTTACCTTTGGCAGGTCACACACCCCGCCCCTAGCGGTGTGGTTTTGTTTGTTTACATCGCTTCTTTCCCAAATCAGCTGATAGATCACTCGGTGTAATTTTTACTCCACGTCAGAAATCACGATCACTTGAAAAACAATATTTTTAGATGCCTATGCGAATAATAGCCTTCTACGCTGCACAAATATATATATTTTCTTTTTAAGATAACTCATTCCTTTTGAGTGGAAGGGCTCACAAAGACTAGGAAAGAGTCTCGCAAAGTAGAGCTTGTTGGGCTGGTCGCAGGACCAGCCTGGTCCTGCCCTCTACGTCCGATCGCATAATTCCTGGTTTAGGTAATAGGTCTGGCAGCATATTGAATCCGAAGTTTGACGTTCGTAAGTAAATACATACGCACATAGCTGCATACGGCCGGTCCCCTCACTGACTTCGACTGGTTAGCTGAGACCCTTGCCTGGGCTCAGGATAGGCTCCAGTTATAACAGAGGCAAACGAAAGAAAGCCAGATAGCGAAGCGTGTAGCAGTTGAATCAACTGACAAACACTTTACGGGCGACCGGGCTGAGCTTCTCCGAACAGTTCACTAAAACGCATGAAATTGTGTTAAAGGGACCCTCCCACCTTAACATTAGATTTGAGTTGAGATAGCCAAAATGGGGTCCCTGGCTCACAATTACCGGTTTCGGCACTCACAACATCGAGAAATGCCTTAAATCGGAAATATTGAATTTCAAAATTGCAGCATTTTGATTCAGAGGGGCTAATGCTTAGGAATACCCCTCTGAATGTGTGACGTCAGCGCAAATATCTAACGATTTTTAAATGTTTGACTAAAACGTTTTGTAGCACGCGGTGGTATATGCTATTAGTGCGCGCAACATCTGCCGCAAACGCCGCACTTCTAAAATAAAGTCGCTAGAAACAGTGGAGATCCCAAAAAGTAAACAAAAGTAAAAGTCTAATATCTTGAAAACCGGTGAATATTTTTCGGTGAAATTTGGTAGATATTCGTTTTCGCTCTTTCTGAACCGAGCGACATCACTTTCATGCCAATTCATAAACTTTTTTGAAGGTGGGAGGGTCCCTTTAAGTGTAGGTAAAGGTATCATGTGTCTTGTAACTGCGTAACAGTTGTATCTGACTTTGGTTTCTCCTCATTTGCAGGTTCGCCAGCCATTGAATGAGTGCTAATTGAGCTGGGCGGCTATTTGTTTGTTTCTTTGTTGCGCATTGAGCGACTGGAAGGAGTGACTGTGGAGACAGCACACTGTTGTCACTCGAGGTACCTGGAAAGAGTACGTTTCTATTTTTCTCTAGTCATTTCCGTTGTATCGTTCGTCGCGATTTTGGCTTCTTGTTTTTCAAGCTTGCTCTTCGGTACGGGAAGCTCTGATGCACGCATCGCGTCTTCTTCTTCTTTGCTCCTCTGGATGGGAATCCCGGGTGCGCACATTCCTTCCTCCTCTTCAAACTTCAGTAGAGCCCCTTGCTTCGCCTTCAGGATCTCACGCTCAGTATCCAGCTCCAGTTCCTGCATCTTCCACTGCAGCTCTTGTTTCTGACGCTCCATTTGCAGTCGCTTCTTTGCGGCAGCTGCTCTGGCTTCTAGCTCCGCTCTTCTCTGGGCGTCTTCAAGTCGCAGAAGGCTGATCTTCGATCGGACAGAACACCTTGATGATGCGACTGATGGCTGAACTTCTTGTGTTTTGTGAGTAGGCTCCAGTTTCTTTTCCATCTCGGCCTTCATTGTGTTGAGTTCAGGCATCACATCTTGGTGTCTTGACAGGTGTTGCTGCAAATCAACTTCAGAGAGAAGACCTTGCAGCTCACTGGAAGTCTGGACCAGATCGATATATGTTCTCTTCCACTGGATGTATGCTTCTTTGAGCGTCTCATTCTCCTCTTCACCTGCCACTTCCAGCCTCTTGATGATATCGACACCCTTCTTCAACTCCTTCAGATCCTTCTGGTACTTCTTTTGCTTGATGTCGATCTGGGACTGTCTCCCTTCTTCAGTCAGCGTTACTTGTCTTCCACGTTGTGAGGTGAGACCTGGAAGTCCACGCGCTTCACTGATGCTGTCTCCCTCCATGTTCGGTTCCTTGTTGGTTGACTCGTTAAAGGAAGACTGCCACCTTCAAAAAGTTTTCTCAGGTCGGCCTATGATTTATTCCCTGGACAAAACAAAATTTTAGAATTCACCTGACAAAGTATCATCACGTAAATCGCGAAAAAAAATGTCGATTATCATACAATTATCAATCGGTTAATGTCTAGCGACAATGTTTACACATCACTAGACTTCAAGGTCATAAGATTATTACATTTTATTTGAAAAAGTAAGGTATTTTATGATTTACTAATATATGATTTCATAAGAAATTGGCCATGTTAAATTTATTTTGCATTTAAGTTCGTAAAACATTTAAAAATCATGGCTCATTTGGAATGGGTCTGGCCCATGTTAAACCCCATTTCCCACACTTTTTTGGAAAAAATGAACTACTGAATATATAAGTTTAACTTTTATTTTGACACTCCAAAATTCTTCTCTGATCTCGAAACAATCAAAGTTTTGACATATATTTACCAAAAGATAAGAAAATTAATGTTTCAAAGTTATCGATAAACAGTAGAGATGTCGGTTTTCTTGGACTAAAAAAATGGCATCAAACTGAACTTTGGTCTCCGATTTCTCGCAAACGGGTTCGAATTTCGGAAAACCGACTTCAGTCTGGGACATAGGTGGCTCAGCTCTAGTGAAAACCGTTTTGTGGAAAAAAGGTGGCAGTCTACCTTTAATGGGGGACAGCTACAGCTCTAACTACTGAGGTAATTGAGGAAAAAATAATAATGAGAAGCATAATTCTGACTCTGCGGGTCGTGGTTAGTTTGTTAGTAGTATGGTCACTGACGGAAGGAAGAGTTTTTACTGATGCGGCCTCCGCCACCACCGTCAATCAAACTCAAACTACTGGATGCATTGGGATAGGGCACATGTATTGGGACCCAGTAATGTGGGGTAATGACAGAGAACCTTGGGTTGGTAACACCACAGTCACCGTAAAAACCTGTCAATCACACACATGAGAAAATGGGTTAAAATAATGCTCTCTCAGCAATAAAGCGCACACATTCACACTCACATACACACTTCGCGTTAAATGTGACACATGAAAATGTGGCGAACGTTCAGTCGAAACTTTGGTAAACGCATGATAAATAATCGAAACCAGTACGCTTGTACTTTGTAACAGAATGATAGCGCGAAAAAATTATTAACACATGGTGAAGCCAAAATCGCGACGAACGATACAACGGAAATGACTAGAGAAAAATAGAAACGTACTCTTTCCAGGTACCTCGAGTGACAACAGTGTGCTGTCTCCACAGTCACTCCTTCCAGTCGCTCAATGCGCAACAAAGAAACAAACAAATAGCCGCCCAGCTCAATTAGCACTCATTCAATGGCTGGCGAACCTGCAAATGAGGAGAAGAGAAACCAAAGTCAGATACAACTGTTACGCAGTTACATGTCTGCCTATGGCCTTTGAGCATCTGTTCCGACTCAGCCAACAATTGGTCTCTGTGAGGTGTCTTTGGAAGGTCTCAATCAGTCTGACTCTGATCGGTGGGTGACTGCGAGCAATGGGCAGTCTGAGCCTTCGACTCTGAGTCTTCGACTGTGGGAAACCTGCATCTGGAGAATTCATTGTAGAAATGTAGACAGTCTATGTAAGTCTCCTAGTCTCTGTAGTGTCTGGGGTGACTCATGACTGTGAGTGGTGGCAGTCTCTGATTGCGGCTTACTCTGGGCAGTGTCCGCAGTCGCTCAGCGACCTAACTGCGGTCACGGAGCGTCTGGCTCGCCGTCTCTCAATATTGCCCGCGGCGGACCCAGCAACTTTGATCGGCGGCCGACAAATATATCGGCCCCGGGCCGCCTCCGTCAGACGGATTGGCCGGCCGACAATGTGCGCCCATAACTCGCCGCCGTTTAATAACTGGCCGAGACAGTTTTACTCAGGCTTGTCACGCACAAGACCCTTTGCAGTCGTCTACAGAATAATTTATCATCGGAGCTGCTTCTGAAATGCGGCCTCTCTTGATAACGTGTGGCCGCAATGAGGCTGCTTTATTTACCACAGTGACGGGACTTGTGAATGGTTTCTACAGTGCAATAACGGCGCTTTCTTTGGGGAGCTGCAATTTAGTTTATTTTACTTGTGCTGCAATCCATATATTTAGTTGGCTTTATAGTCCAGCTGGTAGAGAACCCGTTCCTCCTAGCCGGGAGTCTGGGCTTGAAGACGTTCTGAACATCAAATACATTCCTGGCATGCAACATTGAGGGGAAATTAGTGGCTAATGAGAGCTAATGTCACTGTGATGCCAACTAACAGATGCACGATCATTTTAGATTTTCAGCCGATGGGCGACATTTCTTCAAGTGAAATTACTTCATATCGTGTTTATAGACCACAAATATAAATTAGGCACCGATGATCGATCGATAAAACATATCTTCATTTCGAAATTAACAGGATTTCTAAAGCGTTTCAATAAGTTTTGGTGCAAGTAAAACTAAAGGCTGAAAACAATGCATGGTGCCATTGCATGAGTGAAAAGTGATAAGCTATCAATCAGATTCGGGTGGGCTATACCTATTGATTCATCTCCATCTGCTATAGAGGTCAAGTCACGGTCACGGACGTCCAGCCCGGCACCACGTGCCCACAGCCAGGTCCCAGCCGCCGGGCACCGCCGCCGGCCCTTCCGAGCCCCGTATTGC